GGGGGGGGGGGGAGGGGCGCGAGAAAACAAGGTATGCACGAGCAATGAAGAAAAGGAAGTGAGCACGTCCTGGCGGCGGTGTGCTCTCCGTGCCAAACGATTGACAAAAGGACCGCCGCGGACAACATATTTGTACAAGCACGAACGGGGACACCGTGAGCAGCACGAAACCTAGACTGCTGCGCTCCCAGCAACCGTGCTCCAAGTCCTTACGCTACCCTTCAGCCAGCCTATCGTACGGCGCTTCGTGCTCACCATAGAGGCCGGGTGCCCCATACCGTCCCCATCCATGGCTCCAAACACTCCCACGGTTTTCTTCTCCTTCAGGATGAGGGCTGTGTTCACCTTCTCCGGGGAACACGAGAAGACGAGTATGGGGGGGAGGGTGTTACCCGTTTGTTGTTCGTACGTAAACGGAGAGTTACTCTCGAGAGACGTGATCACGCAAGGCGCAATATGTAAATACTTCTGTTTTTGTTCCATTTATTCTGGACCTCGGTCCTTACGCCCGTTCGGTACATTCTGGACGCAGCAGCCGGGGTCAGACACGAGGAAGGCCACACAGCCAGGCAGTTTTTTCTCCGCCTTCCTGCTGCGGTGCTCGCGTGTACAGTAGTAATACTTCTACGTTGTTATGGCCTGGAAAAAGGCCGTCTTCAATACAACAGTTGTCTCGCTGCGAGACACGTGGGGATGGGTGCACCCCCCTGATTCCCGTACCAAGGTAGGTGGGTCGGAGCGCATTGGCATCTATCGACCAAAAAATGACGCGCCATGAATTGTTTGGCGTTTGCCTCGACCTCATGCTGCAATCCTGTTGGTACGGTGATGTTGTTGTTGTCTTCACATTAAACCGTATGTCAGTTGCTAAATGCCAAAATCTAGATAAGACTACAATGTGACTGGCACAATTTTTTTCCGAGTTACTTGGTGAGGTTACGTTCACGAATGGCACGAAGGCGGAATGGATGGACTCACGACAGCACGGCAACTTCAAGCACCATGGGCACATGTGGTCTACAACAAGTATGCCAACACAAGGCGCCGGGATATAGACTGCAATACCCACGCGCCGTGGGCGCTCCGCCTGCCGAGAATTGGACTCATGTCGTATCATCCATCTGAAGGAAGGAGCTGCCGCGGACCTTCTCAGCGAGCCACATCTTACACCCACCCACCTTTGATTCATGACTGAGATTGGGCCTCTCCCAACACGACGCGGCGGTACAGACTTGCGTTCGTCACCAGCAGTAGGTAAATATAACGTATCTGCTACTCAATACAGCCCTGCACGTGTCTGCTGCTACGTGCTTCCTGCAGCACCCACAACTACCCTACCTCTACTTTGTCTCTTCCAACATGTTTGCATACCACACACCTCGATTCGCACGTCCACCAGCTTGCGCAGCAGATCCTGGCGATTAGGGTGATCCACAAGGTGCGGACAAGTGCATGTTATCTTGGAAGGTTCACTACCCGCAGAGGAACCAGTGGCCGCTCCTCCTGCTACTGCTCGCGCGGAGACTGCCGCTGCGTGGTTGCCAGAACTACCGCTGGTTTTGCTGTTTGGAGGCGCAGCGGTTGACGTCCGCACTGCTGTTTCAGCCTTTTTTGACGAGGATGACGGCTTCTTGGTAGGCCCATCTCCTGAAGCTTCTGCTACTGTTGCTACTGCTCCTGCTGATCTCCCCGCAGAGGCGGCTACCTTCGGAGTGGTAGGCGTTGCCTTGCCTGGAGCTGTCTTGACCATAGTTCGATGATGATGTGTGAATGTGATTTGATTTTTTGATAATGGCAAATCCGACACACAGCAGTGCTGGAGCAAATCGGCTGCCTTTCCTCCTTTGCCTGTACCACACACTACCTAGGCTGACGCAACAGCGCAGGCACAGGTGAGCGTGCCTGGGGTGGCAAACGTACTTCACTTTGATGTTTGACCGCACAGGGGGCAGACCAAAGAGCGGGAAAAGTGTGCGTGCATTCTGCGTAGCCCCATCCCCCGAAACGGCAGACTTCCCGCCGCGCTTGTTGTTGGGAGATAGATGCGCGTGTGTGTAAGGTGTGAAGGTGGGGCCTTACGTCGAGAGCAGTGAGACACAACACGGTCCTGGCTCTGGCAATACTACTGCTAAGTACTTGCGGCTACAGATCATCTCCGACGATATCAACGGCAATCTCACTGGAGGATAAGGAGACCCCAATTGAAGCCACGTACTGTCTACTCCAGATAACAGACAACGGTTGGGAGTTGCGCACAGAAAGGTACGATTTGACGAAGAACACCGGTAGCCACGGCAGTACCGGGCAAAGCTAGCCAGATTGAATCATGGGTGCCAGGGTCTCTGTTCCAGCAGATCGAACAACCGGCAAACCGCCGCGGCCTCTGCGCCCGGCATCACGGCGAGCTGCAACCGCCGGGATCCTCGAGCACCTCGACTGCAAACACGTCGTCATCCTCGTGCTGGGAGACGTGGGCAGAAGCCCCCGCATGCAGTACCACGCCATGTCCCTCGCTTCCCACGGGGTGCGGGTGACGCTCATCGGGTACTCGGGCGAGCGCTGTATCAGCGCCGTCGAAGACAGCCCGCGCGTGGACACGTCCCGCCGCTTCAACCCTCCGCTGTCCGGGCGCTGGGGTAAGAGCTTGAACCGAAGGGCGTATCTCCTGTTCGCCGGAGTCAAGGCGGTGGCACTCCTTGCGAGGGTTATGTACGAGCTGGTGCTGGTGGCCGGGCGGCCCGGCGGCGGCGGCGGTGCGGTCGCCGACAGCGGTGGCTTTGGCGGTGCTCTGAGGCCGGACGCTATCCTCGTGCAAAACCCCCCATCCCTCCCTGGGCTCGCCTGTGTCTACCTTGCGTGCCTTTTGAGGAGGTGTGCGATGGTCTTGGACTGGCACAACTTGGGCTTCACCATGTTCGGCTGCGGGCCCCGGCATCCGCTGGTGTGGATCACACGCAGGGCTGAGGGTTTTTTTGGGCGAAGAGCGACGGTCAACTTGACAGTGTCGCACGCCATGCGTAACTGGGTAAGTACATTGATGTATTCAGGGAGATAATCGGTAGACTACATATGTTGTTCCACGCCTTACTTGTCAGCACGTGTGAGGTAAGAGATGAGGAAAGATTCGCGTTTACCCATTCCAATCGCCCCGTGTAAGCAAAAAGAGCGTGAATATGTACGTTTCGAGTAAGGAGAGAAGAGGGGAGTAACAGACCAGCGTAAACTTCCCCCTCGCTATTTTTTGCAACTCGCACCACTCAAGATGTTGATCCATAAAATTTGCATTCTGCTGTCTTGCTCTGCTTAACAAACACAAGATCAAAGAAAACTTCGGCGTCCCGGAAGGCTACGTTGTCTACGACCAGCCGCCCGAGTTTTTCCGCCCCCCCACCGTACCGGAGCGCCACGAGCTCTTCACGAAACTCAATAGGACAAACCCCGACTTTGCGGACGCCATTCGCAAGCTCACGCTGGCTTCCTTGCGAGGAGAGTCGTCCGCGATAGGCGGAGGCGGCGGCGGGAGCGACGGCAACGACCGACTGGGACACGGCAACGATGGCGACGATGGCACGGACCGCCCTCACCCCAAGAAGGCGCGCGGCCATTCGGACGACAACAGCGGAAGCGGAAGGAGCGACAGCGATAGCGGCGGGAACAGAGAAGTGACGGAGGTGACCCCGCCGCCGACCGCGAGGACCCCTCCAGCAGAGTGGGAAGAAGGAGACCCGGCGGGACAACAAAGGACCCTGTTTACGACGCGGTCCGCCGACGGCGTGTACGAGCTGCGTCGGGATCGACCGGCCTTGCTCGTGTCTTCTACAAGCTGGACCCCGGACGAGGATTTCTCGGTGTTGCTGGAAGCTCTGCGGCGCTTCGATCTGCGCACGGCTTCGGGGGCGTCGCCGACGCTCCCGCTGGTGATGGTGGTGGTGACGGGGAAGGGGCCGGACAAGGCCAAGTACGTGGCGCGCATGAGAGCGGCGACGATGTCGAGGGTCGCGGTGTGCACGGCGTGGCTGGAGCCGGAGGACTACCCGTTGCTGCTCGGGAGTGCTGACCTGGGCATCTGCTTGCACACGTCAACGTCAGGTGAGCCGTGTGTGTATTGGTTGGTCGAGTTCGAGGAGGGGACTTCGAATTCGTTGGAGGGGTTCCGAATTTGTGTGTGAAACGTATCATACATGCCAAACGACCGCGTTACCTCGATGATATTCGCGCGCACTCACCGCTGGAAGATGAATGGTAAGCAGCAATGGTGACCATCCCTCGCCGACTCTTGAAAACACGGGCTGCAACTGTTGTGTGGGATACCGTCGGTGCGGTCGACTGCTTTTCTGTGTTTTCGGGTTAGGTTTTACGCCTCTGTTTGACTGCGTTTCTCTTCTCGTCGACTGCGTTCAACTTTTCCTGTCTTGCTTGACGCGAGATTTTCTGACCTCCAGTTCGATGCCGTCGGGTGAGAATTGTTTTAGTCCGGCGTGTCTTGCCAGGCAACCCAGGGAAAAGCTACATGCATCAAAATTGCAGGAAATGCGACATCTTTCAACCTCTGGCGCGATACTTCCCTAGCCTTCCCGGGTTGCACACGCCGCCTGAACTTTCCACCCGATTTCTGTTTGTTCAAATCAAGGGGTGGACTTGCCGATGAAAGTGGTCGACATGTTCGGCTGCGGCGTGCCAGTGTGCGCCGTTCACTTCGAGTGCCTAAAGGAGCTCGTTCAGCATGGTTACAACGGGTGCGTCTTTCGGGACAGTACGGAGCTTGCCCTCCAGCTAGAGGCACTGCTCGACGGGTTCCCCAGGGGAGGGTCCGAACTGGATGGATATCGGAGCAATATAAAGGAGGTGCGTACGATATTCTTCGGAGACTTCAGGCTTGTTTCCGGTAGCGAAGCTGCTGTTGATGGCTCGAAAGAATCCGGCCATCAAGACGAACAGTAGCAGCAAAGAAGTGGCATCGTCGCTCTGTTATATGCCGTGCAAACCAGGCTTGGGGGAGTTACTCATGGGCAATTGATGTACCCAAAAGGCATGAGCCCTCGAGGCCACAACGAGCAAGGATTCCCTGTGTGAATTTAGACACACCCCTACGAACGCAGGGATGCTTCTGTCGTACAAGGCATGCATGAAGAACCGTGAAATCACCAAGAGCAAGCAGCAAACCAGTGCCACCTCCCACCGCTGCTGCCCCCATTCCTCTCCTTGCCCAAACCCGTCGACATCAACCCACCCACGGCTAGTCTACCGCCCCGCCCTGAACCCATCCGCCTACCGTATCCCCGCCTGCATTTCTTCCCCAGGTGCAACGATGGAGGGAGAATTGGGACGAGTACGCCTGGCCGATCTTCTCGAAGATCGGGCGGCTTAGGGCAGGACCAACAAACACAAGAGGGGTCGGTGTCCGAGGGAGTACCAGAGGAGACATTTTTTCCAACGCGCGGGGAGGGGGCTGGTCGACCGGGGGGCTGGCGGAGTCCGTGGTGGTACCGGCGACGTTGTTGTTGGTCTTGCTCGTGAGCGTTCCTTGGCTGTCCCACTCGCTGGAGAGCTGGGCCGCAGACGGGGCCGCCGCCGCCGACCGCTGGCGACGCCAATGGACTTGAAAAAACGGATCGAGTCGATCGGAAGGATCCGGCCCCGGTCGAGCGGTTCTTGAGTGGGCCCCTACTGCTTATTGTTGTAATGAATGTGGATGTCATCGATGACCTTGTGGACGCTTTGTTTGCTGCTTTCTCTTGTGCCTTGAAATCCACTCTGCCTTCTACCCAGCCAAGACCTCTGTCTCGCTTGATACTCTTATCCCGTTGCAAAGGGAGGCAGGAAGCTATCACCCCGTGTGTAGGTGGGGCAGGATTGCCGTGATAGGGTACGTTCTCTTTCGTGGGATAGGGCGGCCTTCCGACAAATTCGCTGTTGTTTTCGGGACGGTCAGACTGACGTTGTGTTTTCAGGCAACACCGTATACCCCCCCCGCATCTGGTGTTCTTCCCTGTTGGCACAGGTACGGTGTCCACGCATGAGACTGACCAACGCTGGATTTTCGTTTGGTCACAGCGTAGCGCCTTGGTTAGGATTAAGCTCATGCCCGTTCAGTTTCTCCTGGCGTCACCGACACGGCTATAGATGGCACCAAACATGACCAGCATGTCGGGGAGTTTTGTTCTAGCCAATCTGCGGATCAGTCTACACCTTTCGGTGTACGCTTGAGGCACCGTTAAGAGGAAAGCTGCGGCGCTTTGGTCGTGTGTGGGTAGCTTGATTTTCTCCGCTTTGTCCCGTGTTTTCTTGGTCGTACTCGACTTTCACCAAATGTAAACCCATCGCAATACTTCATGGCGCTCTTCGAAGATGGGGGTCATACACGCCTGGAAGTAGGAGGGATGACAGTTCTGTAGCAGCAAGGAGGAAGCCCGCCGACGTTGTCGATGAGGCTGAAACAGCGCGGAAGACATCGCCAAGAACGATAGGATCATTGATCACCTCAGCTACACGCTTAGTTCGCTCTTGCTCACGCACTCTCGCGATTCCCGACCGGATCAAAACTTGCCAGTACTTTGGCGGCTGAACGACGACTTCGGCGCTGACCCCACTCGCTGCTATATCCGCATGGCGGAGCGTTTACACATCCAGATTCTCGATGGTCGTCTATCTATCTCTGCACCCTCCAACAAAACGGTGCATTCAATCGTGCCAAACTGAAGAAGAGGTGCTTATTGAATCATTCTCTACGAGAAAGGTTGGGTCATGTTATCACTGCCATCATTGTGGCTTGCACGTACCAAATAATACTCTAGGCTGGAAGGGTTGAAACGCTTTCAGGCAGTGGATTGTCTTTCTATGTAGTGCGGTTGCTACTCTACGGTGTCGTCCCCTCGGAGCATCTCGTTGAAGGTTAAGGCATCCCGGACGAAGACGCACACAAGCTCGTCGCGGCTGTGCATGCCACCGCACTGCTCTAGGCGCCGCTCGCATGGACAAATGACTCGCCGGTGAACTCGGAGCATCACTCCCCTGGTTTCGACCATTTCAGATGCAACACGACGCAACCACAGGAATCCGCAGCGAAGTGTTCTAGTTGGTTTTTCGGCGACCTAAATCGGTGAAGGTCGCAGGAACAACCCCCAGAAACTGGGCCACGTACATCAGCGAGGTTGGCGAGGAAATATCAAGCAACGCACTGCTGCATCCGTTTTACATCATGTGCGTACCGGCACGTACGACAAACGCGAGCAAACAGCGCCGATGACGCCCCACCGACGAGACCCCACTTCCTCTAGCCGTAGCACGTTTCATCCAGAGGATTTGTCCGGTGTTGTTCGTGCAATAACCACAATATCAACGTTGAAAAAATATTGCTACGCACCAAATGGCAATACCAGATATAGCCTGCCTGGATGTATACGCACAAAGCCTGCCGCTATACCCGGCATGACTAACCTGCTGATAGTGGTGAGGTGGAATCTCGGCGTTATTGGCAACCCTTGCACCACCGAGAGACCCAATCCGTAAAATGCGAACATGGCCAACGCCACGGCGGAAATGATGGCGAAGAACCGTGTGTTGAACAGCTGCAAGACGACCATCGTCAGGAGAGTACCGAACACCGCGCAGCAAACTACCAAGTGCTTCGTTTTTTCTGTTCGTTTTGTCGGCGGCGAGTGTGTGTGTGCGGAAAAGCGGGAGGGGCGGGACAGGGGTCATTGTGGTGTGGCGAATCGTGTGCAACGAACGGTGTTGGTGGATATTTCGATCGGAGTTTTATTTCAGTGTAGACTTGACGTTAGTCACAAGATATACCAGTACTCCGAAGTGAACACCAGGGAGGGGGTAGGGGGCAACTGTTCTTTGAAGGATAAAATGGCCTTGGACTTGAAACGACTGGCGGAAGGAGGAGAGCAGACGTCAACCACACGCCGCAACCCCAGTCTGCTGTTTGAGGGCTAGCTGATACTGCTGTGTCGGCAGTGAGAGTGTCTCCGAAGTCGTCGCATCGGAGAGCATCTGTGTCTGAACAACCATCACTCTAGCCCTATTTACCAGCCCAGGCCTCAACCCCTATACGCGATGTACCAAGCTAAGAGAGTGCCAGTCGACGTACCGGCGATGAAAGCGTTCCCGATGTCGTCGCGTCTCAGCATGTCCATCGTCAGCAGCCACCGTACCGAGTACGCCGTCTTCACCACCCACTCCGGCCCCAGCCACCCCCGCGCCAGCACCACCGTCCCCAGCGAGACCGTCACGTATCTGGCCACGGCGTACGGGATGTAGCTGTACTTGAGGATGAGGGAGACGAGGCACCACGGCATGACGCCGGTGATGTACCCCGCGGCCAGCCACAGACAGAACCGCCTGCTGAACATTTCCGTGTCCTGGTGCGGCGCGCCCGCAACAACGGTTTTGTTGTTGGAATGAGGGCGGAGCGGGTCAAGGGTGGTGGCGGCGCGCAGGCGGGGTGGGCTGGTACCGTTTGTTTTGCCGCCCGTTGTTTGTATGCATCCGCCGTCGTTGGCGGCTCTACCAGTGCATGGATATTCCGCCATGGGTGGCTCTGTCGTCACGACATGAAATGAAGACTGGACCAAATTGATGGGACGACGCTCCCGTCATTCCGTACCCGAGGACTGCCGCCTGCTTCATGAGTTCGATACATGTAAGTGCGTGGAAACCGCAAGAGATCTTGCAGCAGTGAAGCTGTGCCGTCAGCGCCTTGATCAACATGTCGTCGAGTAGCGAATTGCACTGTGTGGCTCCTCGATTTGTACGACAGACAAGCTTGGGGGGCATGGGGCAGGAAGAAGCCGTCCGCTTGTTCAAGGGTTGATGATGCCGGCTCTACACCACTGTGATGCCAGCTCTTGCCACTGTCCATCTCGAACAACTCTGGTCCTGCGTTCATTGGACTTTGTAGTACTTGAAAAGAATAAAAAACTAATCTTTTACTTCAAAAATGTACCCTTGCTACATACAGTATCTTTGAGCCGCTTGCCTTCGGAAAACATATTTTGGCCAACTTAAAACATCAAACTGACAATGATGCGGTTAATATTTACCACCAAACAAAAATATTGGACTGACGCAACACGCAATGCACCTTGATGTCTTTGAGATAAATTTGTTGTGTGCCGATGCGAAGCCAGCCGGCGGAGGGACGCAAGTCGACGTCCACCTTGGGCAGCCACAACGGCAGCACACACACGACGTCCCTGGCCAGGAGAAACGCCGAATGCACGTCGATGAAGGTAGCCAGGATGAATAGACCAGATACGTGCACCTGTTCGGGAGGGAGGTGCGCTGGTGTAATTGTCGTCGCCGTCGTTGTCGTCGTCATCATGATGAACGTGGGCTATATCTGCTAAACAATCGAGAAAACATTCGTTGCTTGCCTGGCGTAGCCTGTCGACTAATAATACAAGTGGGTGAGGTCGCCTGCCGTTTCAGCGAAAAGCAGGAGGTGCGTACCGCAGATTTTCGGCACAGCGAGATACCTTGGACACCTCTAGGCTATGCACACCTTGACCCTGACCGACTGGGGGGAGACATCCGGAAGTAGCGTCAACTCCTCCACCAGGAAAAAGTTTCTCAAGAGAGTCGCGCAGTACAGCCAGCAGATGCCTAGCGGCACCCCGACGATGGCGACGAAACGGGTCTGCCACCTAACACCGACCAGCAACAATGGTAGTGGTGGTTTCAATGGGCGGGCCGGCCGACGTGAGTGATGGCGAGAACGAAGGGAGGAAAATGGGATACCTACCTGATAGCGTGGTGGCTCGGGTGGAAATGGGCTGGTTCTCGTGCTGGCGGTGGTTCTGATCAGAAAACTGGCCTCGGGGACGATCTAGACTTCTTTGAACCGAGGCTGCACTGAAATAAGTAACCTGTTTCGCTTAAAGATGACGCTCGTGGTGAGAAGGTTTTCTACAACGTCAAGCAATATGTGTCCTCCTAGAGCGGTAGGCGTACAAAGTTGTGGAATTGATCCGATGTGCCCGGATCACACATACCTTAGATTGACGTCCAAGCGGAAAACCTTGTTCATGGACCCCGGGACCGGATCGTCGGCCATGAAAATCTTGGCCCTTTTCTTCCTCAAGAAGACGGGTATGGCGTACTCCCATCCTTCCAACACCATCCCCTCCCCCGTCCGGTACAAGGACCTCGCGAGAGACACCAGTCCTGCCAACAGCTGTTGGCACAATCAACCGTCAAGGTTGGTAAGGGTTGAATCGTGGTTGGGGTGAGGGTCTGTCGCGCGTCCTAGAAGGCATGGTCGGGGGCGGGGGTGCTTACAGATTGCCTGCCTTCGTCATTTGACCATTGGCCACGCGTGGCTCTTGAGACGTGGCGCAGAGATCATGGAGTGTAGATGTGTTTCAGCCCATTATGGGCGGACGGCGCTCGTCTTGCAGTCATGTTCATGTCAGAAAAATCATGGATGGGCGGGGGCAAAAAGTAGCCAATCTAATTTTATACCACATATCCTTGGATCAAGCGTTTTTTTTGTCCTGTTGCAGTTCTTGCTCTCTACCACACTCTTCACACTAACCATGCAATCGAACAAGCATCCTCGCGCAACAACAAGCGACTGAACTGTACACGTTCCTCCACCACGCAGCTCCAAACGTGGTTCGAGTGCTCCTTTTGTCGACCAACACGACTACTTGCACGTACTCACAACGAAGAGCTCCGCGCCCAACAGAGCCCGCTCGTTCGACGTCTCGGTGATGTACGCAGCGCAGTCCACGGCCTCCTGCCTGTTCTTGCTGAGGTCGCATTGCTCGCTGTTGAGGCAGCAGCGGATCTCCCGCAGTGTCTCGTGCTCGACGTCGACGGTCGACTCGAACGCGGCCGTTTCGCGCCAGCCCTCCGCGAAGTAGCTCAGGACCTTGTACACATGTTGGTGTTTTGTGGTGTTGTTGTTGCGTGGTGCTGCTGATGTGCTGTCGCTTTTGGCTGGGCTTGTGCTGGGCTGCTTTTGATAATTGTACTGGCAGTGGCGTCAGCAGTAGTCCTAACAGCTCTGCCACATATCTAGCAGCCGGAGAAGTTGCCATCTTATCACTTTGTGTACCTTTCCGACGGCATCTGGGCGAATCGAAACTGTTCTAATGGCGGAAAGTGTCCTTTCGTGGAGGACACTTGGTTTTGGCAGGAAGAATGCCCAATCTCCTTGAAATTCACACAACCTCCCGCCCATGCCTCCCGCCAAGTATTGTGCCCATTCACCTTACCCGCACCTTACACAAGTCCGAAAACTCGGAAGTCATTACGTTCAAGATGTACACCAAAAATAATCGCAGAACCGCCTTGGGATGGTGCCTGCAGCGTCGGGGTCCGGACTGACCACACAGTGGACGTCTCGACGTGTGCTGCCAGGCTGCTGACGCAAGAATTGGTAGATCTCAGACTCGCACCAGGTTCCTCCTCGCACTACTCACCCTCACATCGTCCAGCGCCCAGTGCTCAAGAGCGTTCTCAAAGTTCTCCTGCTTCCACCGGAAGCGCACCGAGGCCGCATTCAACGTTGACGGCACGTCTACCTCTACCTTGTAGGGATCGGAAGACGGACCGAAAGCGGAGGAGGACGAAACGTCAAACAGCACGATACTTCCGAACGACGAATCGCCACATTACGCCATTTCGAAAGGGGGTGTAAAGAAGAGAGTGACATAGGTAGACAGATACAACAAAACGCGACAGAGCATGCTGTTGTTGCCTTTGACGTCAGAAAGCGTCCATGGGGCTACAGTTATTCTCGCAACGACAACAACAAAGGCAACACCAAGAACAAAGGAAAATAAGCACTTAAGGTAGACTCAGACAAGACAGCATTGTTTGTTGAACACAAAAATGGCAAGTCTGCAACCAACAACCGGAGATCGACATTTTTCGCGTATACTTGACCTCACCCACCTCCGTGAACGTCTCCTTCCGGTAGGCAAACGTCTCCAGGATGGAGAGTGTCTCCCACACGCCACCCCCGTCCAGCGAGTAGTACAAGTATACGTTGCCACCATACGCGGGTTTGCACAAGACGGCCGAAGCGTCCGGCACAGTCGGCCCCATCTTCATCAGGAACAGCACCTTTCCGCCGTACCTTCGTGTCCAGATATCGTGACAATGAAGCGAAAAGGAAAGTCGAAGCCCGTGGGATACGTACGAGAAACGTGGCATGTCCCGTCGCAACACATGCAGCTTCTGTCAACTCCTCTGCCTGGCGTGCGGGAGATACATCCATGTATTCATTCTACGCGCAGTAGAGTATCCGGTAACTAACGTATTTCCTACACGATTATCCTTGGATCCAATGTTATTCGCTATGAAACGAAGCAGGGGTAAGTAGCACAGCTCAGTAGAGAGGCAAAAACGAAGCAAAGGCAAAATTCGGTGTGTCAATAAACGCCCGTCCTAGCTACGCACACGTCCCCACGTCGCCGCCGCGTATTCCTGACCTCATGTCAACATCCAACGTCTCCACCTCCCGGAAGTTCGCCCCCGAGAACATCATCGTCCCCGCCCCGTTGCCCAACCCGCACACATCCGACAACCGGCCGTTCGTCACGTGATCCCAGCGCGCGGAGGCCATTGTGTTTGAGGACACGTTCTCGGTGTCCCACATCTCGAACGTGTCTTCGAACACGTATGCGCCGGCGGAGCCAGACATGAACTCTTCCTCGCAAAAGTCGAAGCCCCACTTTTCATCCGAGTACACGTAAACCTGATGTTTTCGTTTCGGTGCGCTTGTAAAGAGACGAAAGAGCGGCAGCTAAGAACCTAGGGAGACCTAACTTTCTTTGCGTGAGGACCAAACCGAAGTGGCCTATCCTGAGAGTGTATATTCTCCCGGGAACTGCTGGGCCCCTTGGGAATAAACCTGTGCTTGCTTATATAATTAGCTCGTGGTGTACACAACCTGAAAACAACAAGAGGAACGATTCGAAACCAGTTTCGAAAAGGCTGGGCTTTGAGCTTTTCCTAGAAAACGAAGTCGCTAGGCTGTTGTAGTATTGAGTCATTCTCGTGCCGGGTATCGCGCCCTGTCTCAACGCTCAACGAAACCTGGTGCCTGTGCTTTGGGGATGCCCGTTCTCTTCCACATAAAAAAAAAGTTTGTCGAGAATCACCGTGGATTCGACCGACACCACCCATATTTCGAACCAAGAGCATCCCACCCGTACCTCCTCGTCAAAAACGCAGAAGCTCCCATAGATCTTGTTCACAGTAGTCTCGTCCTCGCAGGCACTCCATTCTGTGATGGGTTCGAGGCCGTTTCCAATATCGCCAGAGTCGTAGGCCACGCACTTCGCGCCGGGGGTGCAGCTTGGGAAGAACCCGTAGCAGGTCTGATCAAACACCGTCTTAATCACGGCGCTATTGTTGGCTATGGCCACCGAGACCCCGGCGAGAGTTACCAGGCACACGAGAATGGTCGCAAAGAAGCCGACGAGAACAGGGACTACCCCCGGGTCGCGCGGGATCCTCTGGTACTCTATTCTCTTCTCGGCCGGGACGTGGCAGCTGGGGCAGTGGCCGGTCTGGAAGTAGCAGCTGCTACAGTAGAACTCGCCGCAGCACTTGCGGGCGAACCCTTGCCGCAAGCACTTGCGGCACTCTTCGCCGTCTCGGACACCCGGCAGCGTGGCAACGGTGGCTTTGGCCGCCGCAGCGGTACTGTCGGCGGCGTCCTTCTGTGATGCCAGCAGGCCGCGGTTGGCACCGACAGTGATCACATGGCAACCAGGACAGTTGCCGGTGCCCTCATAACAAAGCTTGCAGTAATGCCTGTTGCAGCAGGTTCGTAGCTTCCCATCTTCCAGGCACACGCCGCACGTATCCACTGGGAGCTTTTCCTGGGTTCGGTACGCACAGTTGGGGAAGAAGTTTAGACGCGATACAGTTGTAAGCTTCTCGACAGAGGGCACCCGAAAATAAACCGTAACGAGCCGCTCATCAAGACACGAGCAAGAGGAAAAGACTTCAGCAGTCAAGCACGACGGGTCAAATTGAGGCTGATAAAAAAGAACCGCATACAGTATTAGTCCCTCTGTGATGCAAGTAGCACTTCCCTGAGATTCACCCTGTCGTCGGTGATCTTCAAGCCAGAAGCGGTATCAAGAGTGATGGGGTAGACAGTATTCAAAAGGGTAGACTTCATGACATGCTAGACTACAAGTATTTGGTGATTGCATCGATCGTTCGTCGTGGCGACTCTTGTAGGATTGCACGGCGCACGGCAAGTACACCGCTATCGGTCTCAGTTACAGCACCCACTTTCATCCTTGTGTTACCTCAGGTACCCCCGCCGTTGAAACACGGTCAAAGCACGGGCAAGCCTCGACACCGGGCAAATCCTCGGCGCAGCAACCGTCCTCGTCCCCGCAGCCACCGTCCTGCAAGCAGCTGCAGTTGTCGGGACGCACGCGAACATGGCTGTCGCTACTCTTCAACAATCCTTTCCGGTACGAACCGCAGCTAGTGGCGACCGAGTCCGTGTCGTATCCCGCTATTACGCCGTCGGCTCCTCGTGCATGATCGTCCGCGGAGCTCGACGAAGAAAACGACGAGTCTGTGGCCGGGTTTCGGTTTCTTCGGCGTCCAAGGCTACCAGCATGCTGCTTTCCACCGGGAAACTGTGGGTTGGCTTTATTTTTGTGCCTTCTGGCTCTCTCCTCGAGCTTGCGCTTCCGCTCGGGGTACGGTTCCCACGGGGGACTCATTGGTTGTGTATTGTGTGGTATCTTTCAAACTGGCTGGGTCGTTGGATCTTTCGGGGGCACGCGGTCACGGAAAATACAGCGTGGGGTGGCTCAAAAAATGCGGTCGACTCCTGGGGGACCCCCATGCCGCCACTTTCGCCTTTGCTGTTTGCTGCAAGCTGCAAAACACAGCACCCATCGTTTACCGCTGGTGCTACTACACGGACCACCCAATTTTGTACATGCTGGTGGTCAGGTCTGACGACATAAATATGGTAAGAGTGTGATTCATTTGCGGGTGGTGGTGTCGCGGTTGGTAGTGAGCTTGAGTGACGAACATAACACACACAGCTTGCTTCTTGTGGCAGCAATATGCAGCAATATGCGTACTACGAACATTGAGCGAACAAAGAGGCTCCGCCCTCCGAGCTACGCCCTCTGGTCGCCCGTTCCCCCAGGCAACCGTAGCCTGGTGTGGAACAGCAGCAGTACGCGGCGGTCGTACACCAGCTGCTCATTCGGCAGGGTAGAGATGCCCAGCACTTACTCGGAGCCCTTCCGTGGAATTGCGCAGTTTTGAGGTTGGCCTGGAGTACAGCGCTCTTGTCAGCTTGTGAAAGCTCCTACTGCTCTTCGCGTTTTTTTTAGACTCCTTTTTTTGTGTCACCGTCACAGAAATCAGTACAATAACCATCAAGTTTGAACTCCAGTCGTTTGTTCCTCAGCAACCCCATTCGGAATGAAGAGACCACGACACCCGGTAGCCAGGGAAGGCAACAACATGGCCAAACAAACCTGAAGTACACATGGCATAGAAGTAAAACCCTTGTAAACGCAACACTCCGGCCAAGGTCGGTAACTTGATGGCGGTGTTTGTAGCCGGGCAAACATCGTCTGTCCATCGAAGATCGCTCCCTTAGATGACACCCCCCCCCACTACGTCTGTGGCAAGAGCTGTGAGTAGATTTCGCGGAGGATAGTACCCGAAGGTGTCAATAGTACCAGCCCTGGGGGTTTCGAATAGGTGTGGGGCTCGTTTTGTGCGTACCCTCTAGTAGACCGTACGCCCGCTCGGAGGCTTGCGGAATCCATCAGGCCAAACCACAATACCGGTCGCCCCGGTGGTCTAGTGGGTAGCCTCGCAGCCTGCTAAGGGCCAGGTCATGGGTTCGAGTCCCGGCAGAGAAAGTTTTTCTCACTAAATAAATCCTGGTCTAGGATGAAAGCGACGCGCTGGAAAGCTCGTTTGTTAGTAAACCATAATCGACTTCGTAAGTCGCGAGGGAAGGGATTGCTGTACCCTTCTCGCGATAAAAATACCTCAGGCATGAACCGCAGGAGGGGGTCCAACCCCCCCCTCCTATGTGACCCCGGTTGGGTCGTCTAGCTAGTAGAAGTGGAGGATAGGGGCCAGAGGGGCAGACGACAGAGTCCAATGATGGGAGAAAAAAAAACAAAAACAAACAACACGCAACGCAGCCGTGCCCTCGATCTTGGTGAAACGACACTTTTTGGACTGAAGCGCGAGCAAAGTGGGTTTCCTTCCCACTCACTGTACAACACCTCCACTGAGACTGTTGTGATATTATCTCGAACGGGACGGGTATTCTCTCGTTGGTTGTTGGAGTATTGTTGTTGTTGTTGTTGTTTCTCACATTAGCTCTAAGAGTAAATGTACCAATTAAGAGACACTTAAGCCACCCTCCGCTCAAGCAGCTCGTTCTTGACTATTAGGACGAATATCGTTGACGTCGAGGTATCGTACGATAGCTAACATCACAGGCTACCTCCCAAAAAAAAAAAAAAATCGTAAGCGCTGGGAAGATATGGCTCCTGTAATACCCCTAATTTTTCCGGGATAATACGGTGGAAAACACCCCCGCCCCCGTCAAGAGACACTTTAAAGATGTGGTGATTGCGTGAGATCCAAAGCGTTTCAAGACCTGACTTTTTTCGTATACGCTTTGCTTCAACTCATGTCTATGTAGAAAAAAAAAATTGGGATCGATCCAGCCAGGGGCCACAAATGTCGCATCCCAGGGTTTCCACCATATTTCTCGGGGTTGAGATAACCCTTTTTTGAGCGCACAGCGGATGCTGTGAACTTGAGGAGAGCCAAAACTACGAATTTGATGCATGATGGGTCCATTCTGATCATATGTCGACTCTACAAAAAAAAACTAGAGCGAAAAACGTTGTGGAGAGGGTGTTTTGCCTGTTGCAACAGGCATACCTTTCCCTGGCCGTTGAGGCGAATTCTCCCCGGGAACCCCAATATTTGTTCCGAATGTTTCTCCTTCGCTTTACACTCCCACAAGACAACATTTGGTGGTCAGGTGTATTCTACAACAAGGGACCTTGTTATGAAAAAAAAACAAAAAAACATGCATACCCGGGGACAAAACCACCATATCCCCGCTTTTGCCGCAAAATCAAGGTATCACCCCCCGCCCCCCCCGACCTCCGGTGGTGGAGCCACCTCTCAATAGCCTATAAACCTCCGAGCTTCCACTACGTACAGAATATATACTGCAAGAAAAAGATATGGCGTCTGGAGGTCATTTGACGCCTCTTTATGTGCATTCTAGTCTAAACATCAACGATTGGTGTCGGGGTCCGTTGCCGTCCTCGGGAGGAAACGGGGGCCGCCGCCGCCGGTGGCTGACGCAAGGGAACCGTCGCCCCTCTTGGCCGTACCGCTTCTCCTTGGACGCGACCATCTCCCCCCACGTCCCCCTCGCGCCCTCCCGCTCCCCTTCCCCCGCCGCGAGCACCAGCAGGGCGGCCCCGGCCGCCCTGTCCGGGGGCACGGCCCCCTCGCCCTCCCTGATGCGCACCCCCGCCCCCCCCGACCGCCGTCCGTGTCCCGCTTCGTTCACCCCTCACGCTCATCTCTCCCCGCCCTCCACCACGTCCCCCGTTCGGCCCTCCGCTGCTCCTTCCGCCTCGCCCCCCGCCCCGCCCGGCCCCCCGCCCGCCCTCCTGCCCGCCCGCTCGCCGGCCACCCTGCCCACGACCTCCACCGTTCGCGCGGTCGGCCTCCTTCGCTGCCTTCCTTTCCGCGCGCTTCTGCCGATTGACCTCCTTTTCTTTCTCAGCTGCCTTTTTCTCGTTGTCGAGCTTCTCGTAGAACTCCAATACTTCTTGGCGGGTCATGACACCGCCATCCTTGACCCCCGCGCCCGCCCGTACTGTCGCAATTTTCTTAGAGCGCTTGCGGAGGTGGATGAGCCCGCCGAGCAGCACGGTGTTGACACGGAGCCCCTCGATCATGTACCCACGTTCTTTCAACTCCTTCAGGGCGTCAGGACCGAGGTCTGCTTCCAGCTGCTCCTTGGAGGTTACGATAGCGAGGTCCTCCGGGATCGGGCGGTCAGACGCCGACCGTTTCCTCGTGCTGTGTAGCCGACCGAGTGCCTTCTCCATGTCCACCGGCCATAGGCCCGCCCCTCTGAATGACGAGATGTTGTTCGAAGGTGTAAAACTCCCGGCCCATGCCTGCGCAATCACACCAGCCATGTCACGCTTTCCCGGACTCCTCCCTCCGTTTTGAAGCGGGTAGGCATTGAGCACCTTGGTCATCTGCTTCTTGAAGGTTCCGAACGTACCGACGTCCAAGGGCTGGGTCATGTGCGATGTGTGGGACGGCAGCTGAAAGAGGTCGATGTCCAGAGAAATCGCCAAGGAGATGGCTTCGAAGGTCGTGTGCGAGGCGTGGCCATCAAGCACAAGGGCAACTTTGCCCTGCAAGCCACGAGCGTTGAGCTGTTCGCGGAGGTTCCGAAGGTAGCTGAGGAAGACGTCGCTGTGCATGAAGGAAGACTCCGTGACGGTGTACCTAGCACCGGGGATGCCGTTGTCGTCGGCGACCCAATCCGGTTGTATGCGCTGTCCTTTGTAGAAAATGGTGGGGTCGTGGGTGTGGCCATCGGCGCCGATGGTGGAGACGATCGTGGTGTTTTCCCTCGAGTTCGCACGCCTCGTACCCGGCACCTTGGAGCCTTTCAAGGCGAACGCCTTCCCCGCCTTCGTTCCTTGCGGGGTGGAACCTGCAACACACGCGGACACCGTGCACGAGTGGAAAGGCAGCAACGTGTGTGCCCACATTACAGCAACGCGTGCACACGCCACGACAAAAAAAAAAACGCGCTAGTCTAGTTTACAAACACCGCGGACACACACACCGCAGCTCGCACCGGGTGGCGGGAGGCCACACAAGGGTACCACACAGCAGTGGCGACGGGACCGTTCTATTTTGCCCGCAGCAGCAGCAACAGCTGTCGGATTCGTCCAGTCTTCATTAATAGGTACCCCACGACAGATTACTTTCAGCTCACGAGCAGGGTGTCTACAACAGCGGGGCACGGAATCTGTACAGTGCGCAGCGTTCGGGCAACGCACGCGCATGCGGACCAACACCGGGGTGCACACGCGGTCTGCGGAGCGTGTGGCAAAAAAACAACTCGTTGTAAATGAGCCCCACTTTCTGCGGTAGAGTATTACTTGGGTGTCCATAGAGAATGCTGCCCGTTCAACCCTCAACCGAATTCAGCATCAAATGCGGCGTTGTGTGTGCTGTGACGAGCAGCAGCAGCGGCAAAATGATATGAGGGGGAACTTGGCGAAACATGATTCTTTTTCAACAGCAGAACTCCGCTTTGTTGTGACACACCACAGCGCTGCTGATACCTCGCGTACAAACGCACAGCAGTCGATACTGATGCCCCAGACCTTGTCAGAACTCACCTGTCTCATCCGTGTTGAGCACGCGGTTCGCTGTGAGCTTGTTCTCCACGACGTACGCTCCCCATGCCTTGTAGAAATCTTTGAGCCGAGGCTCATCGTTTTCGTTGATACGATTTGCCTCGTAGATATGAGTGGTTCGCTCCGACAACGCCGGGTGCCTCGCCATGAAGCCGTCAAGCCAGCTGCGCCCCGGGCCCTTTTCTGGGTTCAGGGCACCGGGCGTCCGTCGAGGCAGAGCACTCGCACCGCATCTATGAGCTGCTGCCGACCGAAACTCAGAAAGTGTCGAGAAGCGTAGATCAACACATCTTCCACCGCATCTTCTTCCGCCTTGCTCAGCACAGTCTCGGGGCCAACCCTCGCATCCATGGCCATAGCACCGCTCAAACGTCGCGAGAGCGCGTCCTTGTTCACCCCGTAGGCCTTGGCAGCAGCCCTGAGAGACAACTGACCACTGCGGACCGCATCGCAAGCCTTCTGCGCCTGTTGTGGGTCTACTCTTTCCCGGCCCATGCTCGCAATGCTTAGCAACAGACCCGCCACAGGGATGAAAATGCCCCGCATCACGGGTGTGGGAGCGGGTGTTGCTGTATCTCGTGGGTGCGTGACCCGATCGGGACGCTGAAGTGCTCAAACGAAAGCTAACGGAACGCTTGCAAATTTGAAAAAGAAATCAGGGGGTCCCCGCGGATTGTACGCGGAGATATGTGCATTTGAAAAATTGTGTCTCTTAATGGGGGGTGTCTCTCTGGTACATTTTCTCTAGACTAGTCCACAAAAAATGGGGAGCCCGTGGTCTCAAAACCCGGCACATACGACGCCGCGGGGAAACAAAACATGTGAAAAAAAAAAAAAAATAGAGTACAAACCACTCGGAAAACAAAACAAAATGATAAAAAGAAAATAACGGGTACCGCACCGACCGTTCGAGGAAAGGGCGTGTACTACGGTGAAGCGTCGCCCCCCCGCCCCAAGTGGGCGGGGCATAAGGTGATCGAGGTGGAGTAGAGAGGCAATATCCGTAGGAGGGGAAAGAGAGGGGTGAAAGGAAGGGAATTGTAGTATGAGGGAAGTAAACCGTCATTGTGGACAGTTGATAAGTGCGCATGTAATTCGGCGTAAAGTGGCAAGATTTGTAGCAGGGGAACCCGGTATCGGCAATAAACATTGCTAGGACAAAACAACGTCGTGGCAGGAACTCATTTGGCAACGCAGGTAGTCTCAGGCAACGGTGCTGGTGAAAGGGGTTGTGGTATACCGTAATGTTTAGGGCGGTGTATTTGTGATGACGCGGGACGGCGCGTAACGACGCTGGGTTTGTCACGAAGGAGGGAGGAAGCCAAGACGGATGTCATGGCGGACGCTACGAAATGTCATGTACGCTTCGTCGCTGTCGTCGTTGTCGTCCATTCAGAGGATATGTCAGAAGGGGGAGGGACCGGAAGCTTCTTGCGCTTCGGTTTCGAGGAGGACTTTTTGTTGGAGGTGCCAGAGGTAGGCTTCCTATTGGTGTACTTGCTGGTGGCCGGGGTGGAGGGTGGCGTAGAGGAAGTGGCAAGGTCGATGGTTGGAGAGGAGGGGGAGGGGGAGTCAAGAGAGGCAGTCGATGAGGGCGCTGTTGCTGTTGAGGCCGACGATGTGATGAACCTAGCTACGGTGGTCACCCCACCGCTTTCTTCTCGACCGCCGCCACGTATTTGGTGTCGATGAACCCACTGGATGGCATCTGTTGATCATTGGTGTACAGGTGGAGACGTACTTTTCCCCGTCGCACCACGAGGGCTTCTCCGAGAACCTGTGTTGTTGGTCAAGGCAAAAAGTGAAAAAAATAAATGGGACGGATGGGAGACAGGACGTCGGTTAAAGGAATGCGGTTCAAGAAAGGCAAACACGGAGAAATGTCAAAAGAGACAAGCACAGCAGCGGAACTGAGGATACTGTTGGGTGTGGAACAAGTGTTAGTATGCATATGTACGCGCCAGGGGCGGTGTATTGCAAGAAGGAAATGACATGTATGGTTGGGGCATGATATTACGCAGATGCGGTAGGTAGCAAACGTGCAGGCAAGGAAGGAAAGTTGATTCACCTGTGTTGCCATGAAATCATCGCGAAGATGGGGAGGCCATCCGGAGATTTGGGGCCGCAGTCGTGAGATGAGTCGGACGGGATGACCGTGAAGAGTGTTCGTAGGCGTGATGTACATGAGGTGATATTTTGTTGGCGTGCGTGATGGGCAGGGCATCGGTCGGGCTGGCAGTGGAATTCTATTGCCTGGAAAAAGTTAGATGACTATTTCATTTTGTAGTTGAAAAAGTATCGAGGGTAATGTATTCTCTAGTGCAGACAAGGACGACCATCCCCGTCTGTATAGAATGTTATGGTGATGTTCAAGTACTTGTTTACTTCTTGTTGCTTTCTCTTCCAAGTCAGTGCGCACAGCAAATGTGCCACCGTTAATTTCATCCCGTGGTCACGAATATTTCCCAATATGAATCGCCCCCCTGACTACCCCGCAGGAGGGCCGCCAGCAGCTTCTGCAAGTGCTGGACCGCCTGGAAGACGAGGCCGAGAGAGAGCAGGAGGCCTTGCGGCTACGGATCGACGCGGAGCGATCGGAGGTGAAGGCCACCATGACCTTCAGCCGCGCCTCGGCAATAAAGTCGGTCGAGCAGCAGGTGCGCGGGCAGACCTCATCGATCGGTGTGATGACCCACACGAAGAAGCCTTTTGTCTAGTTGTTTTTGTGTCTTTTCGAAGGGACAGTGCAGGACATGCGTGCGAGAACAGAGAAAAGGGGGAAGAGCGAGAGAGAGAAAGATGGAGCTTGCCCAGTTCCCCGCTCCTCCCCCGGCTTTGGTAACGTTGCCGGCGTTCAGTCCGCCCCTGCCGTTGGCAAGGACGACATTAATATGTGTGCGGGCTGTACAGGATCTTCCCACGCGACCGGTTGTCTCCACGGTTCTAAATCGATTATTGGCGCGGATGCTACTACCGCCGAGCTATACATCTACGTCGCTAGGAGAGTCTCGATGAGATCTTTCCAGTTGCGCTGTCCAAGGCGTCAACGTGCAGCAGTGTCCCCTCTTATGGCCAAATCTCGAGGTGTAGGCAGGGGGCCTCGTTGGCATGGTCATGTGTACTATCGTGTGCGGTGTTGCTTGAGACTGTCCCTGCTTTTGTCCCGGCATGACCCTCGTTGCGATGGTGGAATAGTCATACCGACACCAGCAACAGCATGTCCATCATCCTCACCGTCCATCACATGATCGCCCATCATACCTGCATCGCCCTGCTCTCCTTGTCACGTCTCCTCCCCGCCCTGCCCCGCCCTCCATCCTCGACCTTTAGATGGAGCTCTCCAAGGCGCGCGAAGCCGAAGGGGCTTGGCTGCGGGCTCAGCAAGAATCGGCAGCTTCCGCGGCCAAGGCGCCGAGCCCGTCCGGCCTGTCGCTAACGCTACCGGAGCCGGAGCCGACGAGGGCACACTTGGTGGTCGACGGTGGTCGTCTCCTCCGTGAGGAGAACAGGCGGCTTGCCCAAGAAAACGAACGGCTCGTCGAGGAGGCGTCTTTGCTCCGCTCAGAGGCCGAGGAGGCCAGGCGGCTGGCAGAAGAGCTGTCGGTGCTGCGCGCAAAGGAGGAGGAGGGAAGCACGGCTGCGGAAGCGTGCTCTCTGCGCGGAGACATGTCGGTGGCGGGGGCAAGTGGTGGAAGTGAGTGTAATAGTGGGCCACGCGTTGGTGCTGCCAGGGGAACTGTAGCCGGCGGCGTCCCGGCGAGCCCAGCCGAGGGGCAACGGCCGACCACGGAAGTCAGCGGGGTCATGCTTCCGAGCGAGTTTCGGGATTGGGGATCGAACGGCGTTGTCGGTGCTGCTGCTGTTGGGGCGGTGCAAGAACGTCCTGCCTCCGCGAACTGTGGGCTGGCGGCGGCGAGTCCCGGGCGTCTGGGGTTGATGTCAATCGAACCAGGACCGTCGCCGGGATGGCCGAGGCGGTCGAGCGCGACGGGCGGCAGCGCCCTCTCCGACAACATCGTCAGCGTCAGCAACAGCAGCAGCAACAACAGCAGAGGAGAAAGGGACAGCCGAAGCGAGGGGAGCGAGAGGCAGTGGGAGGAGGAGGAGGAGGATGACGAGGAGGAGAAAGAAAGTAGAAGGAAGGGCGGGCTCCAACGTGCGATCGAAGAGGAGGCCGAGCGAGTGTATCTGGAGCTTCGCGCGAACCCTCCGCCGGCGATAAGGGCGCTGCTTGCGGCGAGGGGCGAGATGGACAAGCTTGCGGCTGAGGCAAGGTCGACGCTGGAGGGCCTGAAGCCGCCGCCGCGGCCGCCGCAGGCGGAGCAGGTGAAACCCACCGTGCGTTTGCATGAGACACAGCGGTCCAGGTCGGCTACACCGCCTCTCGTTGATGCCGCCGTGAACGCCCGATAGGTCGGCGGTGCTGCGGAGGGTTCTGTGCGGGAAGTGATGGAGAGTATTGTCAGAGTAAGGTTGCCGTTGGGTTCGACAAAAGGCGACCCTCCACTTCTTATCCTAGGGTGATGATGCACCTAGCGGTATTGTATCGTGTGCCTTGTCGTGGAGGGGGGCGGGGTACCAACATGACCTGTGGGTTGCGTTTCAATTTGCTCTTGCCTGTCAGAGAGACAACTCTCGCGATCTTCTAACCTTCGCGCCGTCGCTTTTGGGCACGAAGAGGTCTAGCAACGGTAGGTGGGTACTAGACTTTTTGTTGGGTGACTGACGTGTACACAGCATTGTCGTCGTCGTCGTCGTCGTGAGGTTTGATTTTATTTAATCCTTGTGGTCGATATTTCGTGCAGTATGGGAGTGGGTTGACGCGTTGTATGTAAATGTGGAATTATTATTAACCTTCCTTGTGTTTTCACTTTTTCTTTTTCTTTTTCTTCGTCAATATTGTAGCTTTATTTAAATTGTCCCCGGGGCTACTCCTTAGAGTGGTAGCCCAGGTCTGTGTGTGTCTGTTAGTTTCGGGGCCGGTGCCCGTCGTCATGTTCATGCATTCAAGCACATGTCCCGAGTCATTGATCTCCTTTTACTCCTAGGAAGAAGCGTTTTTAGTTCGCCACGTGGATATAGTGCCTCGCGGGCTATAGGCTTCTCCTCACGTGAACCTGTATCACATCTTTTTATTGCTGTTGTGCTGCTTGCGATAGAGTCTAGACGCGTCCCGCCTTCAGCATTGCGGGTTGTCGAGCAGACACAAGGGGTTCTCATTGATGAGAACGTAACTGTAGCACGCGCGCACGTGGACCACCTGCCGTTGCCTAGCTTCGTGCGTGTGCCGATGTAGTTTTACGGCTGCCGTGTGGTGCACACACGGTCTGTCGCTCTTTGCCCGTTTGGCGACCATGTCACCTCGCGACAGCGGTTTCCGCCGCGTTCATTTGGGTTTTGCTTGACCTCGATTCGGCGCGTGGGTTTGGCAAATTAACGTTACAAAAGGCGCAAGCCCTGCCTTTGCCGAAAACCCTGTAGTCTACACAATACGCAGGCGAACGAACCATTCGTTATTTGTTGATAAGCTCAAGTTGCACCGAGAAGGTGTGTATATCATGACAGTCACGCCAGAGTCGCCACATACGCCTTATACCTCCAGGAGGATCGTTCGCAGTGTAGCTTTATATTTGCCATCGTTTGTAGTGTTCTAGCTGGGGGGCTCGGGGAGTGGGAGTAGTATAGTCTTGTGAAAACAATCGCGGGTGGGGCCTGAGACAGGGAGTCGTATTTTCGCCGAAAGGGTTCGGTACATCGAGAGCGCCCTCGAAACAGAATTGGCCTTGTTTATAGTCGGGTGCCGAGGGGAAATGTTTTGGGCAGCAGAAGTACGACCCACATGCGCAAGATCGAAACTTTGGAACTGCGTTTGGTCGTCGTGTCACACGGACACACAAGCACGGCTTGTTCACTATCGTGTTGGGGTCATATGCTCGTGCTTAGTTTCGTGTCTTGCAAGATTCTCGAATGAAAAAGCGCCTGCGGTTGTTGCATGAAATCAAGCACTGCTGGATAGCCTCAAGGATACAGAAACGCTGCCCTATTCATATGGCTGCATGCACCCCGCGATGGTGCCGAAAGGAGTGAGCTGAACGGCCGGTGGTGATGATTGGAGTTGCTTAGGTTGAAGACCCGACGACAGCACTTTTCATGTTGGATCAGCTTTGGGAGATAATCAAGTCCACCAAATGCCCCCAGGCAGGGAACGCTCGGCGGTACTTTGTTTCGTGGAATAGAAACTGCGCCAGGGTGGGGGCGGTACTGCTGTGTCCCGGTCACGACCTGTTCGGAATCGATGTTCAGGCGGCAGAACGCACACCTTTGACTGTCGTGGCCGTTAGTCCATTGGCTGGACGCGACAGGAACCAGGATGACCACACAGATGGCGTCCAGACGTCACTTCCTGACTGTGACACAACTTCCTTGGATGAAAGTACGAGCTGAATCCCACGCATAGCTGACGTGTCGTGTCGGGTTTTAATTTCCAGGGGCTTCTTTCATGGTTCCCCGGTTTAGCGAAACGAACGCGTAGAAGCGATCCCCCGAGAACACGCAACGGCTTGGAGGGCAAAACAAAATTCGACGCATCCATCATTCTCAAGGAAGGTCCTCAACCTAGTCCGAAGCATGGCTAAATTCCGACGGCACACGTCACGAGGTAAAAGGCATCCCTGATGTGCCCCGCATCTCGCATGGCGAACACGCGACCCATTCGCTACAAAACCTGGGGAGTCTAACGCCACCATGCCATTCTACTCAACATATTCTAGAGCGCTACACTCGACCTACCCCCCACACGGTAACAAACACGGAAGATGTGCGTGTGTCCAGTTTGCAGGCAGCGAAGAGCCGGCGAGTCTCTCTCTTCTCCTCTTTCTCGCCTCCGCCCATCTGTCTCTATCCAGCGTTTCCGCTCAAGCCTTAAAGTCTTTGACGTTCTTGACGGTCCTATCGACGCAGTCGGCGATCTGAACACACCACGTTGAAAGAGCAGGGTGAGAAACAGACGGCAGTGAGGTCAAGGTGGCCACGACAACCAGCAAGATTGGGTCAAGTTGTGTGATATCATAGCACGGACGAGCGGAGAAAAACGGTCCGAAAGGTGCCGATGTTCACGGTCCAACATCTGTGAGAGGGCCGGGAAACACGGCACAGGCTCCCGCGATATTGTGAAAATTGGGTCCCAAAGCACGGTTTCCTACGGTAGAGCACCAAATTTCACCTAAACGTTAACCAACAATAGTCTATGCAATTGCACATGACCCTGTCGTGACTGGATACTGTTAGGGGTGTCAATCGGGCAGATCTTGGAGCCAAAAATGTGACCAGTCTATTCAGCAATTTTGGGGGGGGGGGGCACACGGATTGGTTTTTTTTCGGCTCTTGAGAGTGCCCGCCTATTATACTGATTAAAAAGTACATGACTCAGTTTGTTTGTGCAGGTAGTTCTGCGCCCAGGCAGCAGCGTGGCTCTTCATACGTTACAAACACCTGGACACAAGTCCAATAGAGGCGACTGTAAGCTCAGTTTTCTCATAAAGTTCAAGGGCGGACGAACAACACAAAAAAACATGTTGTTTTGAGCTCTTTGCTCCACGCCCAAGGCCACCTTTGCTCCTCTCGAAAAAGCGAGCTTACAGCCCTCTACCTTGGGTTTACAGCTACATCATACAACAAACCGCATCCGAATCGCATCAGCCAACCACGAGATCTCTATGTCTGAAAACGGCCCCTCCAGTGGGGCTGCAGCGCCCACACCACCAGACCCTCCCAAAAAAAGGTCCGCGCCGTTCGGCAGCAGGAGGCGCGCTGAGCGAAAGCTGAATCAAAATAAAATGATGTTTAAAAGAGGACGGGGCAGTGTATGGTTGCCGCGTCAGCAGAAGATAACACGCGGTGCGCTATCGAACGCGGCAGCCTCACCGTCGTAGAGAGAACGCTGGAGGAAACGAAGGAGGGGTTGGTCAAAAAGTAAGAAAATTGTGCAAGAGAGCCAGGCTCAGCCTCGCTGCCGCCGCCGCCGCCGCTGCTGCTGCTGCTGTTTTTTTCAGCAGCAGCAGCAGCGGCGGCGGCAGGTGTCTGCGTGGCTTCACCGCCCGGCTGCTGCTCGGGTGTGTCATGAGGCATGTGTTCTAGAGGGGGACCGCGCAAAGGTGTTGTGTTGTGTCCCACAGCAGGGCACATCAGAGCACACACAAGAGCGGCGCCCTCGCGCGTGCGCGTCAGGTGTTTTTAGGGAGCTTCCGGACCGTTCCGTGAAATTTTTTTGTACAGTCAATTTTCCATCAGCAAGATGCGAGGTCACTTTCTCAATTTTTTTCCTATGGGAAATTTGCTGCTTTGACACCTCCAAGTGTAGACAGCATGATTCCACTTTGGCGGAGAGCGCGATGATTGTTTGCTGACAATAGACGAACACACACATTAACATCACCCAAACGAACATCCACTGTCAAGATACCGCAGCAGTGCCGCCGCCGCAATTCACCACCGCTGGTCCAGTTGGTGCTGCGACCGTGGGTGCTACAACGACATAGAGTACATTTCACCAAGCATCGCTCACCGTGGTTCGTTGCGTGAAGAAATCCAAGAAGTCCCCGTTGGGCGCGAGCAGGTATATGACGATGGAGTGATCCAACAGGTAGTCCTCGCCCTCCTCGTGCTCCTCTGTCTTGGAGAAGTACACCCTGTAGGCTTTGGCGGCCTTGGCGACCTGGTCCTTGGTGCCCGTTAGGTACTCGATGCTTCTCGCAAAGCCAGGCACCGGTGGTGGAGAAAGCGAGGAAATGAACACAAGGGGAGTCGGCGTATCGGAATCCCCGATTGACAAAACTGCTATTAGCACCCCATCTCCTCTGAACTGTAAAAAAAATGTACCTACTGAAACAAAATGTCGGCACTCGGGCTGTACTTAACCAAGGGTGTGGAGAAGATGCTTGGGGTTTCAGCCTGTGAAGATAGAGGAGTGTGCCCCTTCGGAGTACCCGACGCAAAGCTAGCACATACCAGCGTGGCCTTCTTCCAAACGATTCTAGGACGGGGTCGCGGTGCGGTAAGAGTGACAGACTCAACAGCCGTCTTCTGCCCCTATAGACAAGGAACCCCTCAATGACCTCTAGGTCTGACTAAAACTTCTTAGCCTGGACGTCGGTTAATATCGGGTGCTGTGTACACTTGCAACCCCTACCGAAACGAAGGCAATGGGGTGTTGAGCGGGCAGCAAAGGAGATGTGCGTGCCGCTGAAAAACAACTTCCATCGCCCCAACTCCACGGAAAAGCAAAAGTTGTCGCGATGGAGATGGTGGTGCCGCCTGCGGACTCGCTGACCTGTGGTGGAAGTCCTGCGCGTAGTGCTTCAGCTGCGCCAGGCTGTCTCGGTCTGGATCCACCGATACGAACACCGGCTTCACCACGCCGGCGCCGAGCTTATCCTCGAGTTTGGTAGCTATGGCGCCTACCTGCTAGGAAGGACGCAAGATACGTGTCACAATCAGCGGAAGCTAGACTAGCGACCGAGGATGAGTTTCGAAACCCTCTGCGTACCCGAAAGCCTGCCCTTGTGTAGCGTTGAGGCCGAGGCCGAGAGAGACAGGCTCTGGCGGCTTCGGTTGCAATGGACCAAACAAGTGCGCTGTGTAATTTTCGCGCTCGTTTGACGAAGTAATACAAACGATACGTGTTTCAGCCCCACCGTTGATTCAGCCTGTGGTGACTCACAACTGCACCGTTTGGAGGTTCGCTTTCTACGACGACTTTGTGCGGGTGCTAATGAAAGGACGGCCTTGGTGAGAAGTAAAACACTAAGAGTATGAGGATGTAGAACAGGTAGGGGGTACGTAACCTATCCCTAACCCTAATCCTGAACCAACTTCCCCGATTGTCTGCTTTGTCCAGCACGTTTATTAAATCGAAAAAACCCGCGAAGGCTGCAGCATGTAATGAAGCGTTTTTCCCACCTTCACCAGCTCTGACGGGCAGATATCCGGGCAGTGGCAAAAGCCGAAGTAGAGCAGCACAAAGGACCCGTGGTAGTCCTTTTCCGTCACCGGCTTACCGTGCATGTCGACGAGGGTGAACGGCCCGCCCAACGCGGGCTTCCCGGTGGACGTCACCTGGAATTGTACGGTATGTAGACTATTGCATGTATTGTTTGGGGTAATCGTGGCATCTCTGCTGCTTGTACAGTACTGGGCCCGATATCGTGCCGATTGAATAGTGCCGATGCCCGGTATAGTGCCGGTAAGATCTCTGGACACAGAAAGCGCCCCCAATCGGCACTATTGAGGGAGGCCCTTCTATAGTGCCGATTGGGCACCACGGCGCCCCGCAATAGTGCCGGTTCAAACACACACGCCAGCTGACACACACACACACACACACAAGGCTGGACAACAACAAGAAGCTCGAGATTCTGAAGATGCTGGATCAGAAGGTGTCTCACGCACAGATTGCAGACCGCTTCAAGTGCTCGCTTCGGTTTATTGGGACCGTGAAGGCTGGCCGGCAGAAGGTGGAGACAGCAACTGCTGCAGGCTGCGGCAGCCAGAAAACTGCACGCAAAGGAGATTTTCCGGAGGTGCGCTACATGCAATGCTGTGACGTTGGGTTATTCCCCCGCCATTGTTTTTGCCGGCCTTTTTTTTTTCGAGCCTGGTCGTTCGCTGCTGGATGTCCAATTTTTTTTTCGTCTTTCTTTCTCCTTTGGTTTGTTGTCTTTTTTCGGCTACTTTCTTTCCTTTTTTTTGTCTCTCGTTTTTCTTGTTTCTCCGCTTTCATCGTTTCATTCGTTCCTTGTGCTCTCGCACACACCCTCTTTTCAATTTTAAACCAGTAAATTACTACAACACGGCAGCGCTTCTTGTTTGTACCTGCCGCATTATTGTCCAAGTGTACTTCACACTAGTGCACAATTGGGAACAATACTCGAATGTGTGAGCTTAGTGTAACAGGGTACGCTTCGTCCGCCTGCCCGCGCCGCGCAGTGTAGGTTAGCATGCTTACGTTCGAAACAAACCGTTCGATCTTTTGCACTCTCTGCGTTGTTTACTCGTTTTTTGGCGGCAGGTGGATGAGATAGCTCTTGATCTACTCGACAAAGCCCGGAAGGCCATGATGCCCGTCACACGCGATGTCCTTCGAAGCTTCGGCCGTTCTTCCAGGGCAACCCTGCTGGCTGACACCGCAACTTCTGCAGCAGTGAGGGAGAGGGTGGAGGACTTCAAGGCCGGCGAGAGGTGGGCGAAGAACTTCGTGAAGCGCAACAAGATCCAGAGCGTGAGACTTCATGGCGAGGCTGGTAGCGTCGACAAGGAGGCCAACAAGGAGGGCATGGAGGAAAGCAGGGCCCTTTGCGAGAAGTACCCGGCTAGGTGCATCTTCAACGTCGACGAGACATGTCTCCAGTGAAAGCTCATGCCCAGGCGCACGTACCTTTCCACCTCGGAGGATCGGAAGACGGCGCGGGGCTCAAAGAGCATGCACTTCAAGGACCGACTGTCTGCCATCATGTGCTGCAATGCCGACGGCACTGCGAAGGTTGACATGGCCATCATCGGGAGGGCAAAGGAACCCCGCTGCTTCAAGAACGGGGGTTCACCTCTGAAGTACTTCTCGCAGACCAACGCGTGGTCCGACTCCGCGACGTTCCTCAAGTGGTGGCTTGAAGTCTTCCTCCCGTTCGTTCGGCGCTTCACTCACGAACCTGTGCTGCTGCTGATGGACGGCTGTTCGTCTCAGTGATCTAGTGGATGATCGCGGGCAAGTTACCGTCAAGACCAACCCTCCGCTGTGCACCGCCGTACACCAACCCATGGATTTGGGGGTCATCGCCAAGACGAAGGTCAACTACAGGAAGGAGCTGCTCGATGTGAAGACATCAACCATGTTGGTGGCTGACACACTTCGCGCCCAGGCCAAAGCCCGCAAGATGAAGGCCGGGACAATGGGGCTAGCGCAAGGGCACCAACCTCACGTGCGGGACGCCGCTGAACTTCTCCAGAAAGCATGGGCCAGCGTCACCGCCCAAGACATCGCCAGGTGAGGTTTGAACATGTGATATCGCTGTTATAAATGTGTAGCTCGCGCAAGTGCGCATGGCTTTGGTGGTACGTTACGTGGGTAAGATTGTACGGATAGGTTTTATGTTTCGACTGAATATTCCCGCAACCGCAAATCTCCTTGTTTCTTTGCGAAAACAAGGCCCTCTCTCGCATCCCTATGAGTCATTGTTTGTCACTGGGTTCGTCTAACATCGCTTCTCGACCCAAACACGGATGCATCACCATTTCTGCGCTACCTGGCCAGGTGCTTTGTCAAAGCCAAGACGCTTCCGGAGGAGATGGCGGCTGAGCTCACCAAGCAACACGGAAAGACCCGGTTCAACGTCGCCGAGCCTGACCTGAAGGCTCTCGCAGGGACTGTCAACACGTTGAGCACGAGCGTGCAGGACGCGCAGAAGCAGGGATCCCGCGTCGTGGACGAGGAGATCAGCGAACTGTTGGCAGAACTCAACATCGAACCCGGAAAGCCGGTCGCGGGGGAAGCGGTGGCCGCGATTCAGGGGTGGGCTACCATCGAGGACGACGAGGAGGTGGTAGAGGCTCTTCGATTGGACGCGGTGGAGGACATGACAGCACTGCTGGCTGGAACGAACTTGTCTACCGGCGGCGACGAGGAGGAGGACGAACAGGACCAGGGCGGCGGCGGTGAGAACACGGGGCGCGAGCGCCGTGCCCCACGTGCGCCACCGGGAACTGTCGTCTCACTTCGGCGCCCTGGAAGTGGCAGCAGAGGACAGTGGCAACGGAGACGCGGCGTTCTACCTAACGAAAGCGAAGATGTCGATGATCGCAGCGCATTCCGCTAGGCGGGTGCGCCAGACAGACATTAGAGGATTTGTCGCGACGTAGAGTTCATGGTTGTTTCTTTTTCTTGCGGTTCGCTTCCTGTCGTGTGCATGTGGTGTTTTTTTTTCTTGCAACATCGAAGCGGGTACGCCAGGCAGACACTCCAGTGTCGCGACGTAGTTTGAGGGGGAGATACAACTGTAGTGCTGTAGTATTGATTTTTGTTTTCTTGCAGTGCGCTTCCTGTCGTGTTTCTTTTTCTGTTTTGTCTTTTGCATCTTGCAACATCGAAGGAGGGGCTCTAGGGCTGAGATATAGCTACGTCCGCTCTGTACGAACGGGAGCTTTACAAGCATCTTGCCGTCAACAGCAGTTTCGACAGTTCAGGGTGTGCAGTACACTTCATGTGCTGAGGCAGGCAGAAAATAACGGTGCAACATGCAAGTAAATATTTTTTACAACTCGCCTTCTGTGTGTGCGACAGGGGGGAACCATACTTGTCGCGAGAAAGCATGCCTACGCCCACGATAGACCTTCACTAAGTTTGATCCATTTCGTACTCTGTTAGCCCCGCAACGCATGAGCGCCACAGCATGATATCAAACATCTCCTCAGTAGTGCCGGTCCGGCACTATTGAGGGATATTCGAAACCTCAATGGTGCCGGACCGGCCCTATTGAGGGACTATTCTGATTAGTGCCGGTGCCCTCAATAGTGCCGATATTATCTCTGGGCACATACCGGCACTATAGCGGGCCCAGTACTGAATGCAGTATAACTAGCATGGGGTATTATTACCCCTCCGTTTTCTTCGTTGCTGGTCTGTTTATATTACGAATGCGCGGCAAAGCGTTTCGGCTCAACTGTTCGTACGGACGCAGAATATCAGACGTCATTAATCAAGGCTGCTCGTGGGTCTGCGCCGGTGTGATGTATTCGTAGCTCTTGGGCGTTGCTGTACAGCTACAGCCGCTGTCCAGAACTCCGCCTCAGGTGTGAGTCGAAGCCCGGAGACTTCCGCAAACGCACCTCGGATGCAGTCCGATTCTGCTTCTCCTCCCACTTCATCCGGTAGTACCCCACTGCCAGACTTGCCACGATACCGAGGAGACCTACAGCTCCCCACGTCAGCGGCCCTCGGCTGCCGCCGCCCCCACCTCCGCCGCTGCCACCGCTGCTGCTGCTGTCAGCGCCTCCGGTGTTGGTGCTGGACGGATCTGAGCCCGTGTTACTAAACGGTTCTGCTGCCGAGCCTGCTTTTGCATCAGCAGCAGCAGAGGAGGTAGTGCCAGCAGTGCCGACATTTCCACCCTGTGTTCCGGCTGCCGGGGCGGCGGCTGCTGCTGCGGCTGCTGCTGTTGAGGTCGGTGCTGTGTTGGTGTGGCCGCTTGCTGCTGTGGGGGTTGTTGATGTTCTTGAGCAGGACGAGGAGGAGATCAGGGCGGCAGCTATCCCTCGGGAGGGATCAGCACGACACCTAGGAGCATTCAACCTAATTCCAGCGCGCAGCGCTGACGATCTTGCTCGAGAGGCAGCCGAACAAGCCAGTCGGGTGGCCATTGCTGCTGGAAGTCGATGTGTCTGTCTTGGGTGTGTGCGTTGTGTGTCTCCAGCGGGGGGCACACGTATGTAAATGCTCACACCCCGTACATTCGTGATTATTACGCCGCATGCTTGCTGATTGGTGGAACTGAACGCGGTGTCCTCAATGGGTCAGTACCAGCTACCAGGAAGGGTCGGACACGTGCCTCTCTCCTCGAACCTCTCTAGCTACTTTCAGAGCTCGGAACCCGGAGATTCAGTACCGGAGAGGGCCATTTTCATTCGTTTTGTGTCTTCAGCAAACTCTAGAAAAAGTCTGAAAAAACACTGACTGCTGTTGGTGGCATGTTTGTGTTTTTATTATTAGCAACGACCGCGCTAACCGGCTGACCAATGAAAAGACGTCAGTCTTGGTGCGGATGAAAACACAAAACACTTCTATCTACCATGAACTGGGACCCCGTGAGGGGGCAGCATGGGGGAGGCTAAACTATCCTTCGGATCAAAAACAGAAACAGCAGCAACAGAAGAAAACTGCACGCGTCTACCAAGGCTATTACCTAGTACTCGAGTTCGTTTAGGAGTACTTTCACCAGTGTCCTCCTTGTTTTCGCTACCATCATTCTGATCCTCATTTTGACAAGAAGAATCTCTGGGCAGTTCTTCCCTAGCCCTACGTTTCTTGTTGTGGGGAAGGTCATCTCGCTCAAACCCTTTGCTCTCTTCCACTCCTCCATGTTTTCCTGCTCCATCGTCGTCTTCGTCCTCCTTTCTTCCCTTTCCCTTTCCTTCGTCACTCCCAAAAGCATGTTTTTGTGTGAATGTGCGCGAACGACACATGATCACACAAGATACCATGTCCGTGTCGTCGTATTGTCACATTTACCCATGTGAGTCACATTTACCCATGTGAGTTCCCCTTTTTTATATCCCTGCTCTATCATACCGTATTTTACATTCTACATTAGGGTATCCTTCTCAATATCAACCATTCGTTGACAATCCTATTGACAATGCGATCACACACTCCATCATTGTAACTCAAATTCGAATTGGCGAGTTTGCCCCCAAAGGTAGGCCGGCTACAACAAGAGGACAACAGAAGAGCAACGCACCATGTACACAGTGTATATGCGCGACACAGCGGTTACACGCAAAAGGAGGTACTGCTGCAAATCCATCCCCCCCCCAGTCTGCCAGTTCGCACAACACCATGTGCTGCGCTGGGGCCGGGCATTCTAGTCTCTTATAAGTTACCAGCTTCCGCCTGATACGCGACGAACAAATCGTCTGAGCCTGCACGACTTATTTTACGTACCAAATACTCGCAGGACAGAGGACCATTTTTACAGGACAGTTCCAGCCAACACAGGACTGGAGGGCGCCACGCACTGCCATTGGTGCCTGGCTCAACACAACAAATTAACGGTTTCTATCGCTGGCGCCACTATCTAACGGATATGGTGTGTCGTCCCCATGACGGGAGCGAAAACAACCCTCGGGGCTAAACTGCCAAAATACTTGCGGGGGACACTCCAAACGGAACAACAGCCATATCCCCTCTAAAACGCGTTCACTTCTCCGTCCGCGGCCGCCATGCGGGCGGGAGCACCGTGAACCGACAAGAGCTCGGCGCTCAACAGCGTGTCGGGTAGGGGTGATCGCAACGGTTTCATATCTGCGCCCAGGTCGTAGACAATGGGAGTTGCGCGAGGAACCTTCATCGCGACAATCGCGTCGTCGGGTATGCCGTCGAGGTGCTGTAGCAGAGTCTTGAGCATATTTGCGTGTCCCTGGCGAACCGAGGGGAAACAACAGCAGAGGGGGGGGGAGGGGGGGGGTCACGGAAACGGGGGGGAGCAAAAGAGGGAACTTCGGCCAAGCTTATTCGGGCGAACCCCTCTTGATACCTATGAAGCCAGGCACAGAGGCACTTTTCGGTAGGAATTGATGCATGTCAGTGAACGTTCCGGCGCAAAATTCTACGCAGCCGGTGTGGACTTGTGTCAAATTGTATTTGTCGAGCACGTCAAGTGCCGACACAAAACAGAACGAGCTATCGCCCTTGTCATCAAAGCAAGAACAGACTGATGGTGCAGGAGTGTAGCTTGGCTCACCGCTACTAGCACGCGCTTCCCGCTCCTCACGACCGGCGCTATTTCCTCCTCCCAGTACCCCACCACGCGGCGGGACACATCCTTCATGCACTCCGTCCGGGGTATCGCGCAGGCTCCAACTTCGTCGACGACGTGTTGGTACCTTCAAACGCCACACGCACACCAGTGAGGTGGCAAAGGGTGCGGAACGGCCAAAGGGAGGAGTTCAAAAGCAAAAAAGGGGCGACAAAGAGCTCACTACTGGAGCAAGGACATGTGCTGCACAGACTGCGCTGTTGTACCGCTGCAAGTGGTACGCACACTACTTCGACAGAAGAAAATCGCACGGCTGAGAGGTATGTTCAAGCTACAGTAGCGACGAACCCAATGGAGTGAGAGAGAGGGCAACCAACTGCAGGGCGATGATGCTAGAACAGGAAAAATTTACCGCAGACGCTGCGAATACTCTGGATACGGATAATGGACGCTGTCGTGCAATCTCTTCCGCTGCCCTCCTGTTCGGGGGCTCCGCTGACTAGAAAACGAGGTTCCGTTTTTTGTCCCGCTACAAGATCGACGTCCATTGGTCAACCGGTAGCGCAGTCCACCCGGTACAAAAAAAACACGCAAATGCACGCAACGTGCCACCCTCAGAACCTGGCACAAAGCGCGCGGTCTACGCTGTGGTCAGGGGCGTTTTACGCAGCAACTATTTCGCCTCCAATCTTTCAAATTCGACTCTTCAGATTTCCATTTCATTTTTTTTATGAACTCGTTCCAAAAATCGGTGTTAGTCGTTTCCATGTTTCCACAGTTCCAAATCTATTTCCTGTGCGGCAAATCGAGGCTCTATGGTCCAGATTTGGAAATCTGAACATCAAAACAGCTACTGCAATCTCGTCCTTTTAAAGGAGAATCGCCTCGCACAGCCACACACCGTCGGTCGTCCTTGGGGTAGTAAAGCCCGTCAGTGCTCATCGGATGCGGGGCAACGTCATAGCTCGACGCCCAGAGCGCCACATTCTCCTTTCCGAAAGCCTCCTCCGCCTCCGGCTTTGTCTTACCTGTTGCGTCCATGCAACGTATCGTCAAGAACTCGTCAGTCGTGGCATTCAAGTACCTTATGAATGGGAAATTCTTGCGTGGTGAACGGTATCAGTTACTGCCAATTCCGTGTTTTCTGCTGTCGCTCCGTTGGTCGACATGACTGGTTGGTGGACGTAAACTTTGATTTTTGGAAGTTGAGTTTCCCTGCTAGTCAGAGTTCGTGGTACAGGATCAGAGACACATATTTACGCGATGCCGTCGGCTTTCTTGGCAAGAATCTGCGTCAATGTGCCACCACATGAGATATTTTCCACCAAGCGGTGCGACTGCTTGCACCTTTTGCAGTTGAAACTACAACCATTAACGCTTCGACGCCAAACCACCACCAAGTATTTGGAAGATCGGGGCAACGCTGCATGATCGGAAATTACGAATGGCATCACATATATAATTGAGTCTACTCTTCTCATGTTTCGGATGGAAAACGTCGAAGAGCCATGAACTTGGGTGGGGATAAAACATAGTTGAGCGAGGATGCTCAGATCGGGAACGGGAATGGACCTCGTACTCGCAACACATGCGGATGCACGCCACCATAAGAAGAGCACGTCGGCAACCCCACCTATCGTGTCTTTTTCACCCATGGACTCTCGGCAGCGGTGTTCCTTCAACTTGCGTCGGTACGCACAGCGAAACACGGAGGCACTTCCCTTGTTGGGCCTACAACCGCATCGCAAGGAGCTGGCTAAGGATAGGGTTGGGCCTGGACGTGCGTGGGTACCACTAACTGTGCTTCACCTATGCAGTCCCCGTAGTGTCGCTCGTTGAGTCGGTAGTCCTTGATCTCCGGCACCCAAAGCTGGTCGAGTTCGTCCATCACGATGTGCTCCGTTTTGAGCACCCTAGTCTTTCGAAACGGCGAACAAAGGAGGACGTCTTGGTGTCACTTGGCAGTTTATCATTCCTTACGCCGTGCGGCGGCGGCGGCAGCAGCAGCAGCAGCAGCAGCAGCGACAGCGGCAGCTTCGCACAGAAAACTCCGCAGTGGACGAACATAGCAGCAGGCTGTGCAACGAACAAGCCAGTTACATCGCCGTTAGGAAGCAGACACTTGCGCCTATGCACATGTAGTCGACATGCACAACATCAACCGTTCGGCGTGCTTGACAAGTCCAAGAACACCGCAGCAGTGCACTCGGGTAGGCCTTCCAATGAAGGAACGGCCGAGTATCAAAACATGTGCACGGCCGCTGTCTGGAACGAGAACAAGCAGTGCCATGGGAGTCGTGTGTTGCATGCGATGGGCGTGGCCAACCGCGAGCGAAGTACGTCCGAGGAACCGGTGCTAAAACAGCAGGGAGAAGATACCCATAAACTGCGTGTGTATTCCGTGCGCATGATGTTTTCGCTGGTGTTTGGAATAAGGGCAGGTTTCGACGGACAGGAAGAACAGGTACCGCCAGGGGTCGGCTGCTCACCGCTTGAGCACCGATGCAAACACCACATCGAACTCGAAGCCTTCCTTCCGCAAAGCTCTCCCGGCCAGCAGAGCTTCGTGTTCGCCCTTTTCGGTAAGCGGGACGTCTGACGTACATACCATGTGCGGAACAGTGAACGTGCATTCCGTACACAAGTGGAAAATCGATGTAAGCTATGAGGAATGACCGCTGAAGTAGACTTCGCACATACATCGTTTAGGTGCTGTACTGAAAGCGTGAGACCATATACTTGCTGTATCAATCAGTAGCTGTGCTGGAAGACCGTCCCTACAATATTGTGTCAGTGTAGCTGAGCCTGTGTCCGCAGTCTGCAAAGTGAAAGAGGCGGCAGTTCCATTGTTCATGAGATAACATCCTATAAGCATCTTAGGCTGGAGTACTGGAATGACATCGACGGCACCACTGATGATGAACAGAGGAGTGCGGACATCGCCCAGCCCCTGCGAGACAGCGTTCATCCCAAGAACGGTCTGGGCCAAAGCTTATGTAGCTGTAGAATACATGCTGTTTGATTTTTTTGTGTACACGGTCGGTTCATGCATCACAGCATCGCCAAACCTTACCTGTCCAACCTATGTGTCGATCGTCTCTATTCCAAGTCGACTCCCCATGCCTAAGGAACACCACGCGGTGAGACGTGGTGGTCTCTTCCGGCGCCGGCAAGCGATGGTGATCTCGGTCCGCCTGTGTCACCATCCTACTAGTAGTCGCCAAGGTTCGCTGCTGCAGCAGGGCTGGCAGCACAAAAGCATCCGTACCCATCAGTGCAATGGTGGTTGTCCAGCCCAGTGTGAGAGCACATGTTACTGAGCACATCTCGGAAACACCTACACACACGAAGGGTAGCGCCAGCAGAGGGCAGAGACGCAGAGGGCAGAGACGCAGAGGCGGCTTGACGAATGACGTTCTGTGTCCCGGCTGTCTGGGAGAGGGGTGGGATCAACGGAAGAACGCCTCCATACACGTGTTCCGCTCTTGAAACGGTTTCGCAAGATCCTGTAGACTCGCCTCGTCTCCGCGGTGATGTCGCAGTCGGAGATCGAGAGAGCGAGCAAGAGAGCGAGCAAGAGAAAGGAGCACCAAGACGAGAACTGTCCCAAGGGAACGACGGTAATAGGAGGGGACAGAAGAGCGAACTACGTTAGCACGGCACTACAGCGAGAGCGTTGGATCCGGGCTGAGCGGTCTCGATTGATGTGAGCGGGACCGCTGACACACGCTTACACGCGTGGTTGGTTACGCTGGCTAGGAGAAAGAGGCAAGTCGAAGTTGTATCTTGAGCATTGCTGGCTGAGGGGTAGCTGCGGCGTAAATGTAGACAGGCTAGAGTGGTCAGTCCCGACCGTACTTGATAGACACAAATGTTCGACAAACACAGCAATTTGTAAATTTCTCTGGGGGGCAGCATAATTTATAGAGCCGGTTCGTTCTGAACTGCTAGAGCCTCCAGCCCTCTCAAGAGTGAAACGTACAATGTCGACATGCATTAAATTACACGGCCAATCTTCTCCTCCGAAACAACCGTGAATTGCGAATGGCGGTGTGCCCGATTTGCACCCACGGTATCCAACCCTGATCTACTCGCGGTTGTTCGAAAACATAAGGCAAGCGAACACCCGTCGCATGGTGTACATCGTCTAGACAAGTCATTCCTCTGAAAACAAACTGGCCACCGCCTGAAGATGGAGTTAGCACACAGGTGTAATACATACACTCCGCCGACATATATGTTCTGCGGTCTTCATCTATTTTGACTAGGATATATTGCCGCATTCGACCACATGTCACAGGGAGGGCATCATTGGTTCAGTGGTAGAATGCGTGATTGCCATTCACGCGACCCGTGTTCGATTCACGGATGATGCACTTTTTTCCTACTTAGCAACAATACCGACGAGCATGGATTTGTGTAGAAACAAGAGTCGAGCGTTCCGCATTGCAGATTGTGCATGATGATTGAATCTTGTTTTGCCTCGACGTTGATATTAAACAAATCACGAATACCCTAGTTTGTACTGCCCTTCTCAAACCTTCAGGGTGTGGTATGGGTTGGCATAGTCGGTGTGGGAAAATCCGACGTTCGTTGCGGACTTGCTGGCGGTATGTTATGTATTGTACTTCGTACTCTGTTCTATCTATACCATGTATTTACTTGTAATATATGTATCAACGTGTGTGTGTGTTTTCACTACTAGCATCGACCGCGCTAACCGGCTGACTAATTAAAAGACGTCAGTGCCAGCGGTAAAAATCAAGGAACGTGTGTGTGCGAGTGTTACAACGCAAGCTAGTGGTCGAGGTAGAGGTACTTGTACATCTACCCACCTTCTTCGTTCGTGACCGAACCTACTTCCGAACTGGAACAACAATGGGCTTACTTGAACACACACCTCGTTCGTAGAAGAAGACTTCCTTTTCGGGGCTTGCTTGCTCTCCTTCCCTACCCTGCCTCGTGTTGTTCGTCTACAATTGTTTTTGCGGGTGTGGTACAGTAGGACGGCCTGTGTTGAGTCCTTTCGTGGGGAAGCTGTGGTAACGGAAATAGTACCATGATTGCGTGAAATATAGCAGGCTCATGTAGGATTGTGCTTGATTGATTGAATGTTTCCAAAATGAATCGAACTCAACAACAGCCAACCGTGATGATGTGATCGTCTCATGTAGGGACGAAATGTTGCCGCTAGGGGGGAACAAGTGGTTAATTTGAAGATGTCACGAACGAACTCGTTTGCAGATTGTCACGCGACATTGGACAGTCTGCCCCATGCTTGCCTTGTCGATGTTTGCGCCAGAAGGCGCTCGGTTGTGTACGCGTTGTCTTGTTGTGGAAATTCGCCAAAAAACACCAAAAACCACAACATAGGGGGCACCTTATTAGCTGTTGGGAAGTGGAGTTCCTAACGTGGTGCAACAGAGTCGTGCAAGACCTTTAAGCGAAGGAAACATAAATTCCATGTACACTCATCGAAAGGACTCAAGTCCATCCACACCTTCCCATACAACGGGCGAAAGAAACCTGTAATACAAGAGGCCTATAGGGCCATGTTTTCGCTCGTACATATGAAATCGCGCCCACAACGACAAGGGATCGGTCACAAGTTTGACATTGCTGGTCTTCCTGCGCCAAAAACCTTGTGAAGTACGATTAAATGCATCGCGTGCATCGCTCACCTCTTGGTTCCGAGTTTCTTCGAGGACACCACGTTGTTCTCAAAAGCTTGTTGTCAATTTCCCTGCGTGTATACAGCTGCAAGTCGCGTTTTGCTCTAGTCTACAGTTCAAGCTCCCCTGACTTGTCATTGTGCGCTGATTTCAACACATGCATCGTGAACAACCACGAACATCCTACCTACCATTCCATGCCGACCGCACCCACCCACAGCTGCAGCGGGGACCCCAAGAAGGGTGCGCAGTAGTTTTTTTCATGGCGGAGGAGGCGGCAGCACCACCCGCAGACGCAGCGGCAGCACCACCCGCAGACGCAGCGGCAGCACCACCCGCAGACGCAGCGGCAGCACCACCCGCAGACGCAGCGGCAGCACCGCCGGCGGTCGCCGAGGGGGGGGGTGAGCCCGCAGTCGTCCCCTCAGAAGGCGGTACGACCTCTCAGCCCGCCGCTGGGGGAGGGGAGGGTGCAGCAGGGACACCTGCAGCAGCGACGAGCGGCGGGAGCGGCGGAGGGGAACCGGCGAACGACACCGCCTGGAAGCGATCGAGCGGCGCCGCCGCCAAGGATAACATTGCACCAGCTCCGTCTTCGAACATGCCGGTGAAGGAGCCGCTGGGGCCGGGGCCCTTCAGCCTTGATGATTTTGACGCGGGGGTAACACTGGGCACCGGCAGCTTTGGTCGGGTCCGCATCGCGACGCACAAGACGACGCAGACGCCGTGGGCAATAAAGATCCTCAAGAAGGCCGAGATCGTCCGGATGCAGCAGGTAGGGGACAGTTCAGCTGTGTATTTTTTTCGGCATACTATAATGTGGAACCGGGCTTCTACAGCGTGTCGCAGTGGGGTGAAGACTACGACTGTGAAGGCGTGACTACTTGGTCGGTTGGAGGAAGCGTGAACCGTTGGGGCAAAAGAATGATCACACCGCGCAATTTCTTGAAAGAGGCGCTGGACGTTTACCTACCCGAGTTTTTTTTCCGTGTGGCGTCTGCTAGCACCGTCTAGTCAGGTATGCCAGAGGAGCTGTGTCTTGGTCGGTCGATGTAACATGTATCCCGTTGTGATTGTAGGTGTTCCCACTGTTCCCGAACGGCCTGCCTCAAACACGTTGGAAACATATAAACCTCTGCAACGCCCCATTAAACTGACGAACGTTCCATGTCCCCGGGCACAACGTTAAGAGTCTACCCGATATTCTGCAATTCCGAAGCCATATCAAACGATTGGGCACACAGATGTTTTTGCATGAACGGGGCGCGTCTCTCCTGCGCCCGTGCGTGGGATTGCGAGGTTTACAGTCACGGACCCGGAGGCCAGCAACTGTTGACCATGCGACCAACGCTCCCGTTTTCATATCAACACTGGTCACCGCTTGTTTCCGAAAACGCCGAGTATATAGCGTATCTCCGAGATTTCTCTCCCTCTCTTCGCTTTTCCCGCCCTCCTTCATCCCGCCACCAAACGCTTTCGATTTCGACGACGGGAACACAACCAAGGTGGAGCACATGCTCAACGAGAAGGCTATCCTCGGCAAGATGAACCACCCGTTCATCGTCAGGCTCGCGGGCACGTTCCAGGACGAGCGCAGCCTCTACATGATCCTCGAGTACGTCGTGGGCGGGGAGTTCTTCTCGCATCTCAGGAGAGCGAACCGCTTCGAGAACCACGTCGGCCGCTTCTTCGCCGGACACGTGACCCTCATGTTCGAGTACATGCACAGCATGGACGTCATCTACCGGGACCTGAAGCCCGAGAACTTGCTGCTGGACCGAGAAGGGTACCTTAAGGTCACCGACTTCGGCTTTGCTAAGGTGCGCGCGTGGCTAGGTGTTTCTTGTTGATGGGGGTGAAGCGTGGTGGGGACAGCTGAGGTTGATTGTATTCGTCGGGGTTGTTTTAGTTGGTCGGTGTCGGTGTCATTGTTGTTTGTTGTTGCTCGTGTTGTGCCTTCGTCCTTGTTCGTGTTGTCGCTGTTGTTTCCATCGGTTTTTATTCTTGCTTTTCGAGGCATGCCTGCTATGAAGGGGGTAATGTTGCCCCGATGGACCCTGTTTCCGGTTCAAGCCGAGCGTGCTTCTCCCCTAGGAACACCTCTGCTGACGAACAAGGCAAATCGTACGCGTCTTCGCTGGGACGGCGGTGTCGAGGGGAGATTTATCGTCCTTTCGTCGTGCGACGCGCGGTCCGGTCGCAGGAGTCACGGCATGTTGTTTCCGTGGGGAAGGTCACATATATTCTTTTCCCGAGGCCTCCTATCGCTGGTCTAGGTGTATATTTTGCGCTTGAAAAGCGCAATCGGCGTTGATTTAGTGCTCGAAGGCCATCCAAGTGTTCTTGGACACGTCTACAAACAGCACGTTGGCGTGGACCACGACTACCTCGTTGCCACTCATGGTATTTTTACCTTGACAGATCTTCCTCCACCTCACGTACGATCCGTTCTTCCCAACAACAATTGGATTGATGATCCCGGGACTGACACAACGTAGGTGGTGGCCTTCAAGACCTATACCCTCTGCGGCACGCCCGAGTACATCGCGCCGGAGGTTCTCCTCAACAAGGGGCACGGGAAGGGAGTGGACTGGTGGACCCTGGGAATCTTACTTTACGAGATGCTTGTCGGGCAGCCGCCCTTCGTCGACAATGACCCGCTAAAGGTGAAGCCGAAACAACCGTTGATCGCGCGTTGTTCCTACACGCTGGTCTGCGTTTTTGTTGATAGAGAAGAGCTAGTCGTGTTCACAGCGGCTTGCTGGATCCGGTAGCCTGACCCAGCTGTTATTTTCTCTCTATATCTCGTCGAAACTCATCGTCGAGTTGTTCCGACGTTTTCGTAGATCCACGCATCGTTCTACGAGAGTACACGGAACAAAAATAAAAGCTTTCGTGCTCGAAACAGGTCATTGTATCGGGGGGGCGGGGGGGGGGGAAGGTCGTGAGGGGGGGGGGCGGATATGTCTCTGCACCATGTCTTGTCGGCAGAATATGTGCAGTTCGTCGAAGTGTAGGTAAACAACCCAATGTCTGGATCGAAGATTAAGGTTTAGCTTGAACACGGCGAAATAGATGGCACTTATCGACCCACCTTAATGAGACACACCAATCGCCCTCTTATCGAGTCGTCAGAGTTCGTGTCGCCTAAATCCCCTACCTAACTTGGCTAAGAAATGAGAGCAAGTATTGCTACAATTTCAATCCAGATACGTCTCCGACATGAAGAGATGGGCGAGCATGTTGATGTGTACGTCTCGGACTACTTTGTTTAGTAGTGGTCGAGCTGCGACAAACCATGTAGAAGTAAAGAGGGACATAACCCGATCGGGAAACAAACGTGGACTTCCTCGGAGAGCAAAGGGCTGAGCGACCCTCAATGTCGCTGTGGGGCTGTTCGTCTCCTGGTGGGTCGTTGCTCTTTTCTGCCTACCCAATCGTGTCGCTGAAAGCGTTTCAAGCGAATTGTGCTCTGGGCTTAGATGAGACAACCCCGTCTTCATCAGGTGAAGAAACCACACCCGCCCGTGAAACTTGTGTGTGGGTGCCACAAACTATACTACATCGAACAGATTTTGACGAAGTACGGTTGGTATGTAGCAAACGCCGAGGCGTGCCAATTAGAGCATGCACATGTTTTTAACGCAAGCCTTGAGGCCCGGAACTGTGGTGACCAGCGGTATTGGAATCTCGAGGATGTGGGTGTGCACCGAATCGTCGCGTTCGTCCGGTCGGGAGTCATAGTGTGTGCTTTCGCTTGCGTTCTCATAGCTTTGCTTGCTCCGCATGCACACTGAACAAAACACGAGCAGGTTTACCAGTTGATCCTTGCGGGCAAGCTGGCCTTCCCGCGGTTCATGGACAAGAACGCCAAGAGCCTGGTCAAGAAGCTCCTCGTGGCCGACCTCACCAAGCGATTCGGCTGCGTGAAGGGAGGCGCGCAGGACATCAAGTCCCACAAGTGGTTCACCGGCTTCGACTTCGAGGCGCTCCTCGCCCGGCAGCTTCCAGCACCCATCGTGCCCGTGGTAAGTGCCATTGGCTGCTCTACATGATGGATAGGCCTTGACAAGTTGCTACAATTCGAGCCGCGAGTGGACTGAATCTACTTGAGGTTGCGGACGTAGTTATGCATTTACGTGAACCCTGCGGGTGGCAGAACCGCCTTTCGCCCCACCAACCTGTGTGGATTCTGCAGAGAAACATGCCTCGCACTCCTACCCGTATCCAACGCCCCTCATCAATTCGCCTTGCCCTTCTCGTCGGCAGGTGTCGGGTGCATTGGACACGTCCCAGTTCGACCCCTACCCGGACTCGGTTGATCTGCCCGATATCCCCAAGTATGACGGGGAAGACCCATTCAACGGTTTCTAAGTATTTGACGGGTGGACACCAACTTTGTATTGTAAGTTGATGGGAGAGGGATTTTTCGGCATCCGGGTTGTTTGTTTCTGGCGTGGTTTTTTCGTGCTGGATGATTGCTCTTGGTCTTCATTCGGTCGGGCTTTCCGACACTCGTCCCCCCAAGTAAGACAGGGATGAGACTCTCTCATGTACTTGCCGGGGTTTCTGTCCACGCGTGTTTTATTTATTTTGTTGTGTAGGCGTTCGTTTTCTCGTGGGCTTTGTTTCGGCTGGCGCACTTTAGTTGTTTTGACTGGTCTGCTTGCTTCGTGTCTTGCGGACGGCCGGCTCCCGCGGGTAGGTGGACTTTGTAAGCGGACAAAAACGAACAGCCTTCTGAGCGAATGGCCTCTTGTTATTGCTAATTCACAATGAACTCGATTAGAGAACATGACGATGTGGCTTTGGGTCTTCATTTAAAAATGTCTTTGCTGCTTGCTGGTGTGGTTCGCCTCCTAATTTGAGTGAACGGCAGGGGACGGGAAGCGTGGGAGGGTGTTCGCGCAACAGGAGGCATTTCCCCGAAGCGCGAAGTACTACCGTGGCCGAAGTATTTTTCGCAGACCCTGGAATTCTTGGCGTATAGGTAGAGAGGGCATTTTGCTTACGCACATCGGGTGTCTGGTGTCTTACCATGATGGATGTCCATCTGCTTTTGCTTTCCTTCGAACTCGCCTGTCCCAGCTTAACCCGGCCGCGGGAATCACACATTCCAATGTTAGCCCAAGCATAAATTGGAAGGATGCTAGAAGGTACTGAGCAGAATTCGGAACGATTTTTTGTGTAGGTCAACCACAACCCAAGACCTTACGTTATTCCTTCGGAGTGATCGGAAAAATCACTGAAAGACTGAACATACACAGTGGTGGGGTTGGAAAAATAATTCGTTTTTGTGAAGTATCGTGCTGCAACTGGTTAACTTGTTCGCTGTGCACGTGCCATACAGACGTAGGCTGCTTGGTTCGCCTACACGTATGGGCGTAGTTAGACTATAGGATTCAGTCAACAGCAAGCGGGACACGCCTACTCAGAAATGAGGCTCGGGACAAGAGGGGGCGGTGAACGGGGGTAGGTCGGCGAACCAGGCATCAACCAAACCTCAAGTTTCGAATGACCGTCGTCGTGGTAATTGTCACGCACGGATGGCAGGTGCATTCGATCGATCGTTGCTTCCATAATCTCGCACACCAGGAGAAGGGAAGAACCAAAACCGCAGTGTTCGCCGCGACTTGTGATTTGTTCCTGGATTGTTTCCCCTCCATGGGGATCGTCATCGTCATGCCTCGGTAAAACATACCATCACGTCCTACCCTGCTCGATATCTACTACTCCTACCTTCCAAAAAGATAGGGTGGGGCAGGCTTTGGGGCGACCACCGCAACGCCGTCATCACACAAGCAGCACGGTGCTCATTACCTACTTCGGGTCACGGTGCGGCCGTGTTTCGTCACCCCAGAGAGCAAAACAAGGAGTCAGACGAAGAACTCTGTTAACGCGCACACACTCACCACCCACTCAGTGACACATAGACCGTACACGCCCGCACACACCTATACTGCGCTGTTTTCTACGGCACCTATAGCCGACCACGACTGCTGGAGTTGGTGAGGAAGAGGTGAACTGCGCCAAAGAAGCTCCACGCTTCCGCCGCATCACACGAGCCCTCACAACACACATCCATGCCACGCACATCGAAAAGAACACAAAGAGGAACACGATCACAAAGCAAAGTTGAGGCGGAAGACAGATCCACCACACGCAGCTTAATTCCACCGAGCGGAACGGCTCCTGAAGCCGGTTTAGCTAGTAGCACACCAAGCCACCTGCTTGTTCACCGGACCACCCGCCTAACTGGGCGCCCACAAAATCGAAACACGCTAACCAATCGCGCTATCTGACCGCCGCCCCTGAGAAAACAGCACAGAGGCTTGTTTTTCGCTCCTCCTCTAGGCTTCACACAATAAAATGTTCTCATCCCCTCCCGCGGCGCGCCAATACAACCCGCGGCTAGCTTGGCGGCTGTCCCAGCGGGGCCGGGGCTGGGACGGGCTGCATCCACCCGGTGCAGTTCGTCGCGCCGGTCACAGCGGCGGTAGAAGCGCTGTTGGAGCCGGCCTCCCACCCGTTTACCCCTTCCTCCAGCGAACGCGGCGCCGTCGAGGCCTGCAGGTGCTGGTGCTGGGGCAGCTGTGTCGATGTTGACACCGCCGGTTGTTCTACTTCAATCTTTGAGGCTGGTTGACCTCCCGCCGCAGTCTTCGCGACGAGCGGCATGGCAGTGCTTGTCCCCGGCCGCCGCCGCACGGGAGCCGCTGCCGTCGCCATCCCGGCCGCCGCCGCGGCCTGCGCCGCCACCGCCGCGTACGCCGCCGCCTTCACCACCGCGCTCCCCTGAGGAGGGGACTCGCTGCCGCCCCCGGCTTTCCCCGCGGCGGCCGCTTTTTGCGCTGCTACGGCGGCGTAGGCTGCCGCCTTCACCACGGCGCTTCCCTCCGGAGCCGACCCGGTGTCTGCCGGGCTGGACCCGTAGTGGATCACCGCCGTATTATTCCCCCGCAGCGGAACTAGCTGCTGGCTCTCGCCCGAACCGGCAGCGGCTGCGGGTGACAACACAGACGGCGCCGTCCCTCCTCCTGCCGGAGCAAAGAAAGGGCGCTTCGCGGGCTTGGCCCCCTTTCCCCCGGCCGCCTGCTTCCGCTTGGTGCCCGCCTTGGCCTTTTCGGCACCGGCGGCGGTGGAGGAGGCCGTCGTCGAAGCGGTACCGCCAGCGCCGGCCTTCGCCTTCCCCTTCCCCTTGCTCGCGGAAGACTTGGACTTCTTCTCAACCTCTTTGGCCGAAGACGAGGCGGGCTTCTTGCCAGCTCCGGAGATGCTCAGCTCGCCACCACCACCGCCGCCAGCCGCCGCCGCCGCCGCCGCTCCCGCTCCCGCCCCTGCCCCTGCTCCCTTCAGTGACCCGTTTCCTACCACCACCGCCCCTACCCCTGAAACCGCAGCTGCCGCTGCCGGCGCGATGCCGTCTACTCTAGTGCCGGATGCGCCTCCACCCCCCGCCCCCCCCCCNGATGCCGTCTACTCTAGTGCCGGATGCGCCTCCCCCCCCCGCCCCCCCCCCACTACTTGAGGCCTCTCCCGCCTCCTGCTCCTGCCGCTGCGCTTTCAGGCGCCGTCTCGCGGAAGCTCCGTACCGTTTACGGACCTCCCGGAACGCCGCGCTGTTGGCGTAGTAGTACCCCGTGAGCGGATCTCGGTAAGGCGCCGGGGCGCCGGTGATCTTGCATCGTCGATCGGAGGGAGATTTGCCGGTCTTCCTGCCCTTGTCCTGGACTGCGCCGTCGCCTCCGCCCGCGGAGAAAGGGGCCTGACAGAGGACAGGAGGTAGGTAGTACGCGTCCGGGAAAAAGATTGTGTCGACGCAGCCCCGCCGGGACGCGTAGCGGGACGCCAGGATCTTGTGCTGCTTGGGCCGGCCCTCGTCTTCCTTGGCCTCATCCTCCAGGCGGCGCTGCTTCAGGATCCAACGCATATTCTCTTGCTGCGACGAGGCGATGTATACAGAGAGGGAGAAACGGTCACGAGCGGAGGAACACACACGGTGAACAAGGGCTCCAGACAATTTGGAACGGAACGGAAAGGGAGCTGTGACTTTTGTAGTACTTCTAGGCGCTAAAAAGGAAAAAAAAAACGCGTCTTGTCTACTCGCTGCTTCACGCTGAACCCATTTTCGTTTTCGTCGTAGTTGCTGTGGAGGGGAACAAGATACGTTGATCAAGGGAATCGGGCGCACGTGACACACGAGGCGCTTGATATCTCGCTCCTAAGCCAAGCTACACACCAAAAACGTCGACAATCCGGTCACGCGGGCATTAAAAGGGTCTGGATGCACCTTTGTGACGGCTGTAGCCTTTGTTGGAAAAGAAAGAACGGGTGCTTTGGAGGTCATCGCGAGTCAGGCTGCTTTCTTCAAAACGCGGAACACACAAGACTGCTGGTGCTGTGCAAGAGAGGAAGCAACATTTTGTGATCATCGTAATCGGTGTGAAGGCTTCAAAAAGATGCCGGAGGGAGCCACGGACATTGAAGAGGAGCAACGAAAACTGCGACGCGGTGGAATCACGCTATTATAGGGCGAGGGGTCACACCTGTGAGACGAAATGGAGGCGAGACCACCTTACAACCACGTGTGAACAGAAAGACTCAACCTGAGAACTAGCAATCGCCTGAAGTGATCGGCGTCATCACGTTAAGTTAGATTGGGGGCTAGCAAAGGCAGACCTCTCACCTCTGTTTGGATCGCTTCCAGCAGCAGCTGTTTCTGGGTGAACTGTCCCTTGATAGCCTTTTTCCGCTGAGGTGTTGACCGTTTCAGCTGTGCCTCGCGCGCCTTTGCTTCGCCTTCTCTAACCTCCAGACTTTTCTCCGTCTAATGTTTTTCAAGTTTCGACACAGGTGAGGAAATCCGGGTCCACACAAGTAGGTGGGGGGCGCGGTTAAGGGGGGCGCTACAGCGGAAGTCTCTTGTCCGCCTTTGACAAAAACCAAACAGTACCAGTAGGCCATCAGTAGCCAACCACGAAACTCGGCAAGACTGCGGTGACGCAAGGTCAGCGGCCAGAGACTATGCCCCTCCAACAAGCAAAAGGCTCATATCAACTTCAAAACGAAGCCTACCCACTAGGCGTTTCCTCGGGCGCCGGCAACAAATTCCGGTTCCATCAGGGCGCATCTGCCATCTCACCTTGTTCTTAGTGCTGGCTCGTACAGTCCTCTTGGACAGTGCGCCGTGGGCTGCGCCGCTCGAACCCCCCCCCCCTCGCGCGCTACTGCCCGCTGCCCCCGCGGCGGGCGCGGTCTTTCTCTTCTTCACCGCGAAGGTCTTGGGCTCCTTGTAGACACCCCCCGGTTGCTTGCGCTGAAACGGGAAACCAGAGGCAGGGCGCGCACACGGAAAAAGGGGTGTTTGAGAACGGGCCGGCCGGCGGCAGAGAGAACTACAGTCCGGGGTGTACACACAAACAATGCATCGAATCGGAACTCCTCTTGCACATGAGAGCACGGTTCAAGTCGTCTCGCCGCTCGTTTAACCGAGGGTAATTTCTTCGTTTTTCTCCTATCATTGGAATCTGTCGTCTGCCCCTCTGGCCCCTATCCTCCACTTTTACCGGCTAGACAACCCAACCGGGGTCACATAGGAGGGGGGGGTTGGACCCCCTCCTGCGGTTCCTGCCTGAGATATTTTTATCGCGAGAAAATATACCTTCGCGGCCCGCTCGTTTTTTCTGAGCCTATTATCCTCCTTGCCGTCATCGTCCTCCTCCTCGCTCTCGCTGTCGTTGAAGTCTTTGTCGAACTTGTCCGGCTCGTCTGGTGCATGTGTGGGTGCGGTGTAAGCGCGTTGTTGTGTTTTTGCGGTGGGGGAAACGATAAGAGAAGGGGAGGCGTCGAGAAGGGTCGGTACAACCTCATTCTACGATAGCCAAACGAGATGTTAGTATATAGTCATGGACGAATGTTCGTCGAGACTTGGGGCGACGTCTCCCCTCCTCGGCATTAGGTTGGCATCACTTGCGGGTCATTATTTATTTTCTAATTATGACGCAACAATCCATCTCTTAATCCGCAAGGGCACCACGGAGGCGTATGACTTCCGTGCACCGTAGCTGGAAAAGCACAGTAGGGGTACATTGCCGCTATCGTCCGTCGCGCACACTCGGGGATTCGCTACTGCTGCACTAAATATTACACTCCTCCGCGCATATGTTTGTTAAGACTTGCCGCGGCGGTCTCATGCGCCAAGTCTAAATAATCTTCGAATCTTCTGATATTTTCAAACCCATCGAGCGCTCTCTTTGCAGTGGCAGCACGTTCAGGTCTCACCACCGCGGTTGCGAATGTGACGCAAGCAAGACAAGGCCAACACCTCCCCCCCCCCCCCCCC